TATTATGACCCCTCTCAGTGCTGCAGACGGTGTCTTATATCTGCTGTCCATGTTATGTTGTCAGTGCCACTCATACATATGGACTGATCAGCGTAGATTTGGCTAGTGTGCCAATTCTGGGAGTTCTGCCAGGCGGCATACAGCATGGATGCTTTCTCTCAGAGGGACAAAACGGAAATGACAAGGCAATTGCCATTCTGTCAGCATTGCCATGGTAGCACAGGCACGGCTGTTTATCCCAAGGTTAATGGGATGACGCCTGGAACTGAAAGTGGCAGATTGAGAGAAACATGTGCCTGTTTTACTTAAAACAAGAGTGCTGTCGCATCTCACAGAAGTGAACCAGAACAGGTCGGATTCACGAACAGTATGGACTTGGTAAATGTCACTCCTCTTACTTCCAGCATAGATCATAAATTACAAAATGAAGACATTTGTGCTTTTGTCAAAAATATTGATGTAAATGTGACGTTTGTCACTTAACCCTTGCTGGTATTGATCAAAACACTCTAAAGCATGCAGAGCATTACTGAAACTGATAAAAGCAGTGAAGCGGTGAAGACTAAGCATTTTGTAAAGACAGGATGTACATTTAGGTTTTAGGCATTTGACTATCAAACCTAATGAAGATCTCTTACTGAGGATATTGTTGTATTTGTACTGATGCCTGTTTTGATGCTGTAACATCTGATCAAATTTGACTTATAATATTGATACCTACAGTATATAGTTATTTTTCCACACAGTGAAAATGGCACGTTTTGTGAATCCTTTACACCAGAGATTACAAATGACGCACTTATTACAACAATATTGCAGTTAGCAGCCACTGTCTCAATATATAGAACAAGCTTCACAGAGGTAGGATTTGGTGCAGGGCGATTTTATTGCTCAGATTCAACAGTTTCCTGAGCAACAATAGGTACAGCTTAATTCAGCTCGATATTGTTTACTCCTTGAATGTGAGGTGAGATCAGTGCAACTCGCTCATCTATGTCAATAAATATAGTTTAGTTTATAGTTCTTTACTTAATATATAGGTATATAAAACGATCATCATAGCGTGTGAATTACCCAATAACACCTATAAAGATTTTCATCAGAATAAGTGTGCTGTGAAGACCTGTGTGTGTGTGTGTGAGCCGTTCTCTCCAAGCCCTATGCTGAATGTAGCTGCAAATGTGGAGGATAATGTCTTTGATAAATCAATCAACACTTTTAAACCTGTACTTATTTTTTTATTTGTTCACCTCAGCCGTATAGAGTGGCATGGCTGCTATGTGAAAGGCTTTACCACTAGGATTATAGTCATTCTGATGGATGGCAATGAGACAGATTAATCGACTGCTGTGCAACCCTCACTTATCTGATTTTAGAGCTGCTCCTCCCTTTATGTTCTTGAAAGGCAGAATTATCTCTCCAGCAGTAAATGGGTTGTAATGTGTGTTTTAATGGAAAATTAGCTAAAGATTACAATTTCCTCTAGTTACAATTTGAATAAAACAAGCCTTTGAAACATTTTAGTGGTTTCAGTACACTCCATTTATTTCACTATGAATAGTGTTAACTCTATGAAGCCCGTTTATGTCCCCTTAACTTCTCAAAAGTTTTTTTGTAGTTTGCCGCAATTCACTTAAGAGAAGAAAGAAGAAAACAAGAAACTGGGGTTGAAACTGCCCACTGGAGAACCTGAATAGTTCTCAGTGTTTTTTATTGCTGGTAGCCCACATAGCAAACTCTGTCTGTTAGGGGAGTGGTAAATGTTCAAAGCAACTGGAGGCATTGTGTCTCAGACAGCTCTGCCAAAAGGAATTTTTCTGTGAACACAAATGGGACGGAAGTAAGTCATAACCAATTGCACAACTGCCTCCGGTGTGTATTACTTTAACTGTATACATACACATCAGCTAGCCCTGCACATTCTGAGCTCTTATTGTTTTTCAAAGAAACATTCAGAGACATACAGAGAAATGTAATGGAACTGTGTGGGGATACAAGTGCCATGATTGATTCATATTGGTGGCAGACAGATACTAGAGATCAATACTGATATTTGGGAGGTTGCAAAAGTATCATATCCAGTCCAGAGTAAATGTTTTAAAATATATGTAAACACATTATATAAGCAACAATTGGATAGATTGATTCTTGTCTGTGCTCTCTTGTGAATTATCTATGTAATGGTGACAATGATCTGAGTCCTGGATTTCGAGTCGTGCCTGAACCTATCACTGTGGTCCTGCCTGACTCTCATCATACTACTTCCCTGATGGCTCCCACAGGATTGTTGACATCCTCGTGGATTCATCTTCTTATTATAGACACATGCATTTCCAAACATTTGGTCTACCTATGTTGTAAATGTATTATCTTTTCGATTTACACACGGCAGCTATTGCATGTCTGTCCGTCTTGGGAGAGGGATCCCTTCTCTGTTGCTCTCCCTGAGGTTTCTCCCATTTTCCCCTTTAAACTGTGGGGTTTTTCTCTGGAAGTTTTTCCTTGTACGATGTGAGGGTCTAAGGACAGAGGGTGTCGTATTGTCATACTGATATTCTGTACAAACTGTATCAACTGTGATTGATTGATGTTTCCACAATATTTCCCTCTAATATACTTCTGCAGCTCTGCCTTTTCTTGTTACTCAGTGGCCACCACCAATTCATCTGCAAAAAACAGATATGAGTTTATCGGTTTCAGCTCTATGGGTTCAGGGGACCAAACATGTCATTATATGGCAATGAATCGGGGCCAGAAATAATGAATTATTATCCCTTTTCATGTAGGATATGGCATTTAAATGAGCTGCACAAGCCAAACAGAATAACTTTGTTTGTTTTTTTAACATTAAACAGAAACAGAGCAGAACATTTCTTTACAGTTTGATCTATCAACCGCTAAGACTAATGTGTGCCTCTATTCAGGTTGCTAGATGTCCCATTCTTTACTCTAGACCTCCTATATTGATTGTGTTGTCGATTCTCAGTAAGACTGGCCTTGGTAGCAAAGCTTTTACATCACAGGGAGTCATTTGATTCGGTGTTGATATATATTATATACTTCACAGCGCTTTAACCTTTAATCAATTGGTTAATAGACCTAATTGATTTGAATTTCTTCTTAAAACGTCCATGTGGATGGCAAGGTTACATGTATAGAAAGCTTTTCAGCAAGCACAGATCAAATATAATTGAAGGAAATGTATTGTATTCACATATATTATTTCTATTTCATTTAAGAAGATTTCTTATATAGAACATTTGTATTTGAATACGCTAAGCATTTGCTCAAATATATAGAAAATGCTTTCTATGTCTCATGCAGCCTTTTCTATCCTCATAATAATAATAGTATTACATACATAATGGGCTAGGTGACATTGTATAACATATTAGTTGGTGAGATATTCGCAAGTCTAAAGCTATGATTGACAAATATAATCCTACCTCCTAATGCAGTCACAGTGTTTCCCCTAGGTTTACTGCTTTGGGGGGGTGCTGCCTGAGCGGGGGGGCATTGGGATATATTTATTTTGAATCCTCTGGAGCAGAGAGAGGAGCTGTGGATTATTGTTATTGATTAATGCATCAGTGTTTCTTAGGGTCAAAAACACTAAACTCACAACTTAAAATGAAAGCGTTTAGTTTATTTAATAAAAGAGCGCATGTTCAATGTGAAAAGTGACAGTAGATATAGATTAGTTGCAATTTGGTGCTATATATATATATTTATATATATTTAAAAAAAAAAAAAGAAGAAATTATAATTTTTTTTTTTAAACATCTTGAATTTCAGGGGGGGCGCGGGGCTCCGTTGGCGGGGCGCAGCGCCCCTCCAAGACAATGGTAGGGGAAACACTGAGTCATTATTCGAAATGCAGCTCAACCAACATTTAAATGCAATCCAGACCTCACCAGCTCATATTCTTTGAGGTTGTATTTACAAGGCAATTTATCTTAGTTGAAGTCACTGGACAAATCCAAGAAATATAAGAACCAAGACACTGAGGACTTCACCATGTTTAATGTCTTCTCCTAACTTCGTGGCATTCTCATTGGAGGGATGAATGTAGGGATTCCTGTTGATGTGTCTGCGCTCTCCAACATGCATCTTTATGTTCCTTCCTTGGCTGACGTGTTCATTTCAAAATAATCCTTTAGTTTTGGCTGCAAGGTGTTTATACATTACGACATAAAGCCACTCTTGATCCAGCCTGTTTTAGTACAGTGGGGTTCTCGTATTTTTTCACGAACGAGCAGCCAAGTTGTCCTATATCTTTAGGGAATGGGATCATGAATATTGTGTTAACCCAGAAAAGTTAAAATCCATGCATGCTTCCTTGTTCCCCTGATCCCTCAGCTTTTGTTATTGCATTGGCCCATTGTACCCGAGAAGAGATCAAGGGGGACCCCTGTCGGTTGTGGATTATTCCTTTGTAGAAGCGCCACTGTAGGGGATAGAGGATTAAAAGAGCAGACAGTGAATAGGGATTCTACAGGAAGTTCGTTTGGAGCACACACTGCACAATAATTGTTAAAGCGGACTGTTTTCTATTGAATAGCGTATTTGGTTTAATGTTTTTTTTGTTTTTTTAAAACCTATTTGAGCCAAGGAATAGACCCCCATTAACTCTGTACCCATTCCAGGCTTTCAGTTTGTGCAGCACTGAAGGATCTGCCTCATTTGGATATTTATATCCTATATGGACTTTATGGACTAATTAACGCTGGAATTGCCTGTAGCCAGATGATGAATTTTCATTGTGTTTACATGTTTTCCCAGCTGTTGGAGGGGTTTAGAGGGCACTGCAGCTGAATGAATATGAAGAATCTCTGTCTCCCTTCCCTCAATTTCCGTTAAGGTCATATTGAAAACTGGACGCTGCTATAGCAGAAATATTGTCACAGTGTTTTCAAAATGGTGTGTGTTATATAAAATCCTTAGACAAAATTGTATTCTATCTGCATCTTTATAAAATGGTGTTTCTTCTGTTAATGCAGGAAACCATGGACCTCGAGGATGGGCAGCCGCATACCCAGAATGTTCTGCGAAGAACCAATCACCTGTGGACATTACAGATGAGCGAGCTTTGGTTTCGGAGGAGTACCAGGAGCTGGTGTTTGACAAGTTCAACACTGAGTCCTCCAACCAGACCACCATGAAAAACACTGGAAAGACAGGTCGGCATCTAGTATTGTCTCAATACCAAAATTATGACTGCAATACGATCCCTGTCGAAAGTATTTTGGTACCAATACTAAAATTATACCACAGCAAAAACCCTTAAAGGGGACCTATTATGCAAAATCCACTTTTCCATGTATTTTATACATAACCATGTGTCCCCTCTGTGTAAAGAGATTCTGAAAGTTTCAGGAAAAAAGATTCGCTCACTTTTTGTCCTGATCCATTTATATATAAAAACCTGTCTGAAAATGAGCTGATCAGATTTTGGCCACTTTATGATGTCATAACGTTTTTTTGGCTTGTGTAACCATTAGCCAATAACCAATCAAGGTAACACACCCCCCCCCACCTTATCACCTAAATCTCCTCCGAGAGCACCATAGTGTTCTTTTTAACCAAATATCTCTCAGAGGGGGGTGGGGAGTGGCTCCTTATTTTCATCTAAAGTAACAGACAGAGAATCAGCACTTTTGAAACAGGGCTGAAACAGAGGGGATTATGGGATGCTGCAATGCATGATCTGTTTGGTGTTTCAGAGACATGTTTTGTATATATCTGAGACCTATAATATATTGATGAAAAACTGTATAATAGGGGACCTTTAAACAATGGAATATGACTGATATTATTTTTTCTCTATTACATTTTTTTATTAAACAATGAATATATTTAGACAATGTCAAAGTAGGCAATGGAGGATGTGAGAAGAAGCCATAAAACAACATTATGAATATTATACCATAGTGTGTTCATACATTTGATTTGCCATACGGACTGAAGAAACTCATGCTGTAAATGAGCTTTTTGCACGTTCACATCTCCACCTTCACATTTCACACTGCTTCTTATAGGTTTGATCCTCGCAGTGATAAGTGTGAGGAATACTGTGTGCTTGGAAGGAAGGACTAATCAAACTAGACATAATGTGATAATGACATTTATTCCACTATACATAGTATAATGACAATGTAACAAAAATACACTGTAGGAATACATCGATAAAAAACGTTATCTTAATCACATATCCATGTTTTTAAATACAATAAATAGCTCTTACGTTTCAGTAAAGGACCTAACCATCACGTAATAGTCATGATTCTTGTAAATCTATCGGTGATTTTATTTTTTATTTTATCATTGCCTTCATTGCACTGCCCCCTGATCTCCTTGTATCGCTCCCTCTCCTCTTTGTTAAAGCGTTCACGCCTTGTTTATGAAAAACATTTTAAAACTCACTTTATTAACTGCTTCTTCAAACCATTGCTATATATTTATTTCAAACAGCTAATCCGGACTTTTTGTGTGAAACTCTGACCTTAATTGATCTCCTCTGCTCCTGGCACTATTTCTCTCAGAGAGGAGCTTCATCTTTTGCGTTTGATCGTAATGAGAGTTGTTAGCCTCCATGACAACCAAGACCGCTGGGACAGCCAAGCAATGCTGGGGGCTGCTTATTTACGACGATAGAAATAACACGGTTGGCTGTAATTTTGTGCACAAACCGTACAAAGGAAATTTTAGACGGCTAAGCACTGTGAAAATCAGGAAAATTGAACAATATTAACAGAAAATGTAATCATGCAAACGCTTTTTAGAAGAGGTCAATTTAAAATATAGCAGCTTCACCCCACAATATTTGAAATTAATTTTACATTCTTTTGCCCTAAATGATGAAGCTTTTTTTCTTTAACCATAGTTTGCCATTACAACCACTCTTTTGAACAGCCATGATATGACAGGTACATTTCATTCCTCACTGAAGCATCACATTTTTGATAGAATAGAGGAGGAAATATTACATGAACAAGATGAAATGCCCTTGAGCAAGTCATGACATATTTCTTGATCGTCTCTCTTGTATATTATTGGTCAGCTGACACTTCTCACTGTAAAAGCCTACAAGGTTGAGATTAGATTAAAAGCTAGTGGGTACAATTTTTACATTCCAACATCTTTGGCTGCATTTGCTAGTCTTTGTCTGTTGAAATGTGGATGAATGTTTTCATGAACTACATTGTTAAGTGTTAAGTTATTGATCTGAGGAGATATTTGTCCTTGCTGTTCATGGAAGACAGTTAAAAAGTTTTGAATGTGATGTGTGTTCTCAAACAATCTTTGGCCTTTCGGAGCCATCCTTGATAAATTGCAGTTGCCAAGTCTGCAATCTTTTGTCATGTGCCATCCTTGACAATCTTTTCTTGTTTAATTGTACTGAAGTTGTTAAAAATGATGTCAAACATGGCCAAGTGTTTCCAAGCCCATTGTTGTCATTGTTTGGTTGTCACAGCGGACATCAGGAGCTGAACAGACACACACACCCGCCCCCTCCCCCCGGCGGCTATAATGTCCGTCTTTTCACTGAATTGTCGTCCTGACAACAATTCCGCAACAACATCTACCTCACCTGTTGCCATTTCAACGTTAAATACAATAAAACGGCAAATGAATTGCTACGTCGCATTCATCTAGATCAGGGATGGGCAACTTGGATGGTGGTGGGGGCCACATCATTTATGTACTGGCCACCAGGGGGCCGCAGATTCACTTGGAACACACACACACTCCATGTATTGTATGTAATTATTAACAAATATACAAAGTCTGACATCTTCATTGACATTTTACAATCTTTCAGGGAACATCCTCTTATAAGCTCACTAAACAAATATCAGTTCACAGAAATGTTGTTTAATTTTTACAAGTGGCATGTTTGTATTGAACAGGTTATTTAACAGAGGAATAACACTATTTTAAACTATTGGAAAGCACGGAAAATGTATGTGCATTAAGATTAACCATTAAGATGACATAAACATGAAGTCATGAACACTAACCCAGACATTAGTTGTCTAACTTGAACCTAAGACACTTGTAGCCTGTCTCTGCATTCCCCTTATTCCACAATAAGGCGAATGTCAACACAGACACCTGTCAACCCGCACTCTGCTGTTCCTCAGCGCCGCTCCCCCTCCCTCCCGCTGAAATTATGAATGAACAGCGTATAGTAATCATAGATAACACGGCAGGGTCCTTGACAGTTTGTTTTCATCTGATTTCTTGGTTTTTAGAATATTAAACTTGTTTCGCCAAATTCAGATGATAAATACAACTTTGAAGCTTGTAAAGGCATAATTACAAGCGGTAACTTAACGTCACAGCAGGGCAGGCATAACAACAGCCGGTGTTTCTTGTGAGTGTTTCCCCGGGACACAAACAGAATACACACAAACGCGTCACAGATTATTTTGCGGTATTTGGCTGCCGAACGAAATCATGTACGCAGCTCGTGACGTAACTAGGAGTCTAGTGGACGGTATCAGTACTACCCCGGGCCGCCATTTGCCCATCCCTGATCTAGATCCTCTGTCTCTCTCCAGTGAACTACCGGGCCTTCTAGAATACCCTGGAACCGAGGGAAGCTCTGAAAGAATACGCCCATTGGCTACAAATCAATATATGATTGGTTGATCAAACTGTCAATCCAAACGTACGCTCTCATTCAGTGTAAGGGCCAGGGCATTCTATCAAGGCTATAGAATACCTTGGTTGAAGGATATTCTACCCAGAGACCCAGAACAAGATCTGATTGGTTGCATTTCTTTTCTAACACAAAACCACTGAAATGCATAGTGCATGGACCGAGAAGGACAAACCAATCAACGTAACACTGTAATATTACAGATCAACAACACAGATACGATTCTTTTCATTTCATTTTATTTACATTTTATAAAATTGTATTTATACAATTAAATTGATTTTTTGTTTGTTTTATCTGAGAGTTTCAGGGTATTCTCTGAATACCTTGAAGGCCCTGACGCTTCACCAATGACTAACAGTAGGTGTCCATTCATATACATTACAGTATATTGCCATGAGACTAGGGCCACTTTTTGTCTATGGCTTCCTCCGTTATTTGTTTACATGGACTTCTTCTTTTCCAAAATGTTTATTCTCAAACGTAAATTCAGGCTTTTTCATGTACACGTGAGCAGTAACCAATGCTTTTACCAATGTCATTGATTTAGTTATATATCATCTACAAATATTCTAGATATCTGGTTCAAACTACATTTGCCAATACAAGGTCATCTAAGCATGTTCCCTTATACTCCTTATTCATTAATAAATTTGCCCGCGTTGCTTTTTTAATAGTCTTTTTTTGTGCCACTAGGGGATGTTAAGATTCAAAAGTTCAAATGGGCTTGAACATCATTGATACTATTTAATAGTGAATGTTGTAATTAAGAGCTGAGTGAATAGGTCTTAAAAGTTCATTGAGATTGATTTCACAGTGTTCCCTCGTGCCTTGACCCGCTTTGAGATCGAGCTGATTGGCCGCTATTCAAGCAGCGTTCCTCAACAAAACATTTCTCAGTTAAATTTCAAACAACTCTCAACTAAATTCATGAGGAAACGGAAGGCCCAAGAGACATTTGCATTGATCAAGGATTTACTTTCACACACACTCCCCTTCTCACACTGGCTGTGATTCAAGGTCTTTTTGGCTTAGCTTCTAATTCCTACTTTGCTGTTTGAGGGTTCAAACACACCCAGGGCCGCATTTTTAATGAAACTCCCATGACCGGCCAGTATCCCCTTTCCTTGACTTTCCTTTTGTTTCAAACGGGATTACACTAACAACAGCAGAACAGGGGATTTATTGCCATCCTTGTAATTATGTATGTGTTTGTGAAAGAGTTAGCAGCAATTATAATCATGATATGGTTAGTTTATTCCTCGGCAGACTGATTTACACTTTGACCTGACGCTTTCGCTCTTGGAAATTTCCTCCATCTAAGAGCTTTTTCCATCTTACTGTGGGCCATCAGCTTAAGCAGCATTGGCACATTAATACTGCTGGCAGATTCTTTCTTGCCTCGCGACAAGGGCTCAACTCATCCCTCATCACACAAGGTTCTCCTCTTCAGATCTTCTTGTCTCTCCATTCCTTTTCTCTGGATCTCACGCTCGTCACGATTCTGCCTGTTGAAATCACCCCATGGTGATCTGTTTCACTTACCTTAATGTCATGCATTCCCTCTGCACAGCTTGTTCATCATGTCATCTGTGTTTACTGACAGGCTGTGTTTGCTTATACACATGCTCATTCTCTTGGATTGCTTTGTGTGATATGATTAAAAGTGGGCTGTCCTTATCCGGAGAGACTGACTAAATCCCCCTGTAACCGGGTGGGATCAGCCGACAGAACACTGCGTCTAATCTGGCTAATGATGTCAAATGTAGACGTGGTAAAGGGTTGTAGAAACATAAAAATGTAACCTCTGCCAGGACAGCAGAATGATGGTGATATGCCTTGTCATGATGGCATTTTGGATGTCATGAAATGCTAAATGGAATACTAGATCTAGTGCAGTTAGTTCACCCTTACATGACACCACTGACAACATTTAAAAATGTTGGCTTTCAGGAATCGCAGACAGCCTGCACTTTTAAGGAGAATTTGAATTGCCGTTGTCATGTAAAAACCTCATAACCGCAGTAATGTCTGTGTTTTAACCTCAGGAAGAGGATTAAATGGCCTACTACAAATTGTGAAAATGTTATGACCCTTAAAAACCCTCTCCGAAGCTACTGCAGGACTTCAAAATTGCTCAGGCTACTAACAATTATATGTTATATACTGAAAATAGACTTTTTCGAGTTACTGGATCTTTTGTTCGCAGGAAGCAAGCACATGCAAAGCCTCTGTGATTATTCTGCTTGATATGGTCAGCAACAACAATATCACTGCAAATGTTGTAATATTTAAGGTTATGAGGTTAATTGTCAGTTTATCTCCAGCGCCCAATTCTGCAAAACATATTTTTCATGCTGTTGAATGGTTTTCATAGTGCTTCATTCCCGAATCTCAGACTTTTTAATAATAGGAGAATATTGGATGTAATTAAACAGAAAATCATGTGTGAATAACCTGAAATGAAAAGCAAGCTCACAAGAAAAAATATGAGCGTTAAGGGTCATCAACATTATTATGATATTTCATTCTCAAATGGATAGCACTGTTTATTGTGTGAAGAGGTGCTGTGTATGTGTCCCGCAATGTGAATTTTTTGTAATCTCTATCAGAAGCTTAAAAGCCCCAAAAACGATATTTCAGACATCCCTATCCCTATTGCACCAAATTCTCGAAAAATGAATGTTAAGAAAGTCATATTTTTGTGTGAATGCTAATAAAACTATGTAAAAAATGCTAATACTAGGATTTCATAGAACATTCATTTCCATAACTGACGTCTTTATGCTGTGTGTGAGTGTCACAGCACAAAAAAAGACTCGCATTACAAGATCTTCCCTACAAAAATGTCAAACCTTCAGCAGTGCAGAAACTGGTAATAACCTTGCATGAGAGGACAATTTAAAATGCTTGCTTTACCACAGTTGAAGCAACAGCCTTACATCCTTGCAAAAAATGCTAGCAGGGAGAGGAAGATCACAACGCAGAGAATTACGTCTTCCTCGCAAACCATGCAAGAGGTTTAAGAGAGAGAGTGGCTTTGTCTGAAGCTTCCTACCACTGAACCAATAGGATGTCAAGGACACTGTAAGAGGGGGCTGTCTGCTCTTACTTAAGGGCACCTCAGTAGCGTCATTGTGAATGTGCACACAACTGACTCTGTATCTAGTCATGATGATCCCTAACACAGTGGCATACAGAGGCAGACCCTTTCAGACCCTTGGTGGCCGAGTAGCCCTTTAAATGGCATTTAATTAGATGGTGAAAGCTTGTTGAGCTCCAATTAAAAATACTTTTTCTTTTCTCTACAATAATTTCAATCTAAATTGAGGCAGTCAGCTTAAGTTTATGAAGACTACTCATCTATCTGCCTTTGCATCAGTGTACTCCATTTTCTTTCTTTGTTTGATTCCATATTTAATTTTTACTTTTTCTACAGTTGCTGTTCTCCTGAAGGATGACTACTTCGTAAGAGGTGCTGGACTGCCAGGGCGTTTTAAGGCTGAGAAGATTGAGTTTCACTGGGGCCATAGTAATGGATCAGCAGGCTCAGAACACAGCATCAATGGCAGAAGGTTTCCTGTAGAGGTAAAGCATCCTGTCACTACATTACACTTTGACAAATGTGCAATACGAGGCCTTGAGGGTCCATATTGAATATTGGAGCCTGGTATAGAATTCAGGCCGAACACAGACGCTAAAATCTAGTTTTACTTCAACTTCAAGAAACCCCACTAGGTTGAGGGTTTAGGATTATTGAAGAAAGATAAATTCACTGTGGACAAAAGATATTTCTTAGGTAAACTCTGGCCTCGAAATGATTTTAAATAAACCCAACTTAAAAGAAAAACTAGGCAAAAAAAACCTTTCTTAATCATATAATACCCCCTTTTTTTAAATATGTCTTAAATGTACTATAGTAAATGTCTAATCATTGTATTGCTTATAGTTTTAGAGGAATATTTTAAACTGAGAGACAACTTGACTGTCTGTGGGAATTACACAGCTTTTATACATACAAGTCAGTCTATTAAAACATCAACCCTGAGCAGTGAGAAATCACATCTTCCAAGTTCTATTTCTTTCAATATCCCAATAAAAAAATAGACATATTTCATTTGCCAAGGTTTGCACAAATGTAGCTTAAAGGTGGGGTAGATAATTTTGGAGAAACCAGCTCAAGTGCGCTAGAATTTGAAAATACACAACCGGAGAAAATCTGCTACTTCCTTACAGAGCCCCTCCTCCAACACACACGAACGCGCACATGACCAATGAGGGCACGAGATAAGTTTGTGCACAGATGGAAGGCTGACAGGCAGGTAGGCCATCCAGTTATTTTAGCCGGGCTGGCTAAAATGATTGGTCGTGCTTTTTACAGTACTACGGCTTCCACAGATGAACATTTTGTTATGGATTTTTTGTCAAAGCACTTAAGATATTTATTGCTAATGGGATGTTAAGAGCATTCCATGGAATATAACAAAAAGTGTATCTCGAGCCGGTTTCTCAAACTTACCCACCTTTAATGTTTTGGTGCAAGCGGTAAGAGACATAATATAAGAAAGAAACATTTAGAATAAAGCTTGTTTTTACATCTGTTTTTTAAAGCTGAATGTTTTTGTGCAGTAATGGAACAATATTGACTAAACTATCGCATCAATGAAAGGCAGAGTGAAAAGGAACATTTAGTTTTGTCTGAGAGTTAAATGAGATAAACATTCAGGCAGAATTGTGTACTTGTCTTGCTTTTATAGTGTTAGTTGCACAAGGTCACAACACATTTCTCAATGCCAGTGTTGCCAAAAGACAAATAGAAACAAAGGGAGAACATACTGCAAGTAATAAAGGCAAGCAAAACATCACCCACTCGTGTAGCACTGATATAAAAGGTATTCATTCTAAAACCTTTTGGTATTATTTGCAGAAATCCCACTTTTCATGTGGTGCACAGTGTTTTTTATTAGTGCCTTACCCTAATTAGGGTTTATGTTTTACCATTTCAATTTCCATGAATTTTCTAGGATGAATGTGCCAATGTGTCGTACATTTTGTGGGGTTATACTTTTACCCCTTGTACTGTCAAATGGTTATAATTATTGTTAATATTACAGTGAAAAACAACAGGAAAAGGCTGTTAGTGAGCCTCTCCCTCCTATCTCCAAACACGCAGCTCGAGTCCTTCTGTGTTTGTTTCTTGGCCCTGTTCTTTGGAGCCCTCTCTGCAGGCACAGCTCTTGATGCTGAATGGCTGAGTAATTAGATTTATTTTTGCCACATCACTTTGTGTTCAATGTAGTGTTAAAGGGCACTGGATTATATACAGCCATTATAAAGCTGTTGTGCGTAGGGCTCCTTTGATGGCATGCTTCTAAATAAGACGATGGAATTGACTTTAATGGCCAATTTAGGCAGCCGTTAGAAAAACGCTGAGCAAGGAGATGAACATTATGCCTTCCAGGTATATTATATAGTTGGAAAACATAGATTTGTAGCTTATCATGTCTTTGTGTGTAGACCCAGATTTTAACATCAATCATTTGTTTCATTTAAAATGTATTTAACCAAGCAAAGCCTCATTGAGATGACCATCTTCTATACAATCCAAGATCAGCAAATTGAAACGAAGCTTCAGACCTACTATAACTGTTACGGACCATAACGTTTTAGATCACAGTATATGGAAATAAGACCCAGGTAATCATATCCTGGATTATAGAGGGGCACTTCTACTTTTGAAAACTCTTACAGAGACCAGTTTCCCCTGCAACATATTCCAAGACGCAGGAGCAGTGCACTTAAAAGCCCTTTTACTCATTTCAAGACGGGTAATAGGGGCAGACAGATCAATAGATATCATCTTTCATAAGGATACATTTACGAAGATCTTTTTTAGGAAGCCAGTTAAGAACTGCCTTTTCAAATAAGGACATGCCAGGGATTGAGTGTATTGTTGGACAGCCAACCCAACAAAGCAGGCAGCAATGATGAGTGGGGCCTTAAGATTTTTAATTAATGCCGGTGCTCCATGGGATACAGTATCTAAGGAGTAAAGGCATTGAAAAGATGTAAAACATCATCATAGTATATCACAGACATTCAAGTAGTAACAAGTCTCCTTTTTGCATTGAAGAAAGCAAATCATATTTCTGAAATGAAAACCCAGACTCAGTTATAAGTTATTTAACAAGTTGATCTGAATCTAGAAGCTTATAAGAGAGTGAATTGGCAATTAAGAATCTCATATATGTCTATGCAGATACAGACTCAATGACCCTCAAACGTAAGAATAGATGGATGAATGGCTTTTTCCTTGAGTTTGTAAACATCATTAGTTTTATGTTGTTAGGATTTTAAATCACTTTCAATTGATGAAAGGGATGTTAGAGTGCTATATTAATTTTAAAGTAAAGCTTCTGCTCCATGTAAAAAGGGAGAAATAAAGGAAGACATCCATATAGGAGGAATTTGATTTCAGATTAAGGAGAGATTTAGGTAATTTTAAGATGGTGCAATATAATCAGCAGCTAACAATAACACATATTGTTATCTGTTATTTAGACCTGGCGATTTGAGGTTGTCTAAAAGTTTAAGGGCCTATTACACCTCTATGATATAAACTGGCATAAAGCAAAACAGGGTTTCCCTTGCAGGTGGTGCTAGAGGGAACCAGAGGCAATGAAGTGCTTATTTAAGCAATCAAGCTCTATGGTTTTGTCAGAGATGTTTTGAGAGTCCTTGACTTGAAGTAACCATTTTTATTTCCAGATGAAGATTTAATAGTCTTTCAAAACAGCCTTGGGTTGTTGAGATTTTTTAAAATCTTTCACCAATGAAATGTTCTGCTTTGCCTTTTTTAATTGCAACTTTAACTGCTCATCATGTTTCTGAATGCTCTCTTAGCTTACCCAGTGGTGAGTACTAGTTGGCCCTGATTTGTTTGGCCAGCATCTCAACTTTAAGTCCAGGGGAGTCGGCAGCTCACCTCCTTTTTGAACACCTGCACCCCATCTTTACAGCACCACCAAAGCAATCCTGGGCTCCCTTTTCATGGGACTTCACTGAATATGTTCATGCTTAAACCCAGAAAGGAAAGGGGCAGTACTAAGGAGCTAAATGATTGCTTTGGTCTTGTACTTTGTAACAGGTCCATTACTTATCACACGTAGAAAAGTCATCTGTGGCCAAGTTGCCCACAGCTTTAATTTGCTCCAGGTGTACCACACTGCCTGCTCATCCAACACAGTCTCACGGCATTTCGTGTTATAGTCACGAAATTAATCTATTGATTCGTGTTCACCAACACGATTTCGCCATTTTTTTCGTGTCACACAGAACGATTTTAAAAGCAATGTAAATAATAACAAATTAGAAGGAAAAAGACATTTAAAAAAATACAGATTTAAGTATTCTGACACAGAACGATTTTAGAAGCAATGTATTTATATTGGTAGTATGTTTCGTGCCTGCACCAAATAATAACAAATTAGAAGGAAAAAAAGATGACATAAAATACAGATTTCAGTTTTCTGAGGCTCTGAGCCCCATTTCTGTTCCTCACTGACGGCAACAAAAACTCAGACATTATACAATTTAAAATAAAAGGGATAGGGTTAGGCTTAGGGTAAGATATTGAGTAAGAACATGTTTTTATGAACCACACAGCTTCTGGTCTTCCAAGACCCGACCGGACAAAAAGACGTGTTGCAGGCACGAAACATACTACCAATAGAAATACATTGCATTTAAAATCGTTCTGTGTGACACGAAAAAAAGGTGAAAATCGTGTTGGTGAACACGAATCAATAGATTCAATTAATTTCGTGACTAATAACACGAAATGCCGTGAGACTGGGTTGGCTCATCAGGGCGGATACTGTCTGCCAATGGACTGTGTAAAGGCCTCTGTGTGTATTGTGACCTTCTTTGGGCTGCCTTCAAAATGATAAGCTTGTCCTTCTGTTCGCATCTTGCAGGCATAGTTTTCTGAAAAATTAATAAGTTCAGATTCAGTGAGATTTTGTTCAGGCCTCTGGTGGACCCAGTTGAATATATTCATGGCTAAAGGTTTTATCTTTAGTTTTTAATTCCTGGATTGTCCCTTTGCAGGTTTGTTTTAAACATTCACATAGGCTATCTCTAAGTTGTTTAAGTAACCCTCTCCCATTGTTACCTGGATACTCAGTACACTTTGTCTCAGAGAATTCAACTTTGTCAAAGCAGCACTTCATATTTGATCCATGCCTGCTTTGTCTTAAGATTCACACACAATCATACTTACTCTGAGACGCTGGTTGTCAACAGCCCTCTCTCCACGAGGTGTTACCCAATAGCTTGAAATGCTCGTGTTCCACACATGCACATGTATCTCTATCCCTGGTCTCAGGCTCTTTGATATAAAAAGCCTGTCTTCTGGCAAACTGTCTGTGAGACATGAAGAGATGCTGTTCCACCTTTGTTTGATATTGTGCATCTATTGGCTTTGTTAGAACTGTTCTTTGTATTGTTCGTTTATTTTGGTAATGGTGTATTTTTTCTGAGCAAAAGATGACTCTCTGGACAGAGAATTGATAACAGCTTGCTTTCTCCCTGCTGACAGTTTGTTGAACCCCCTTCACTTGGATCTTTCACTTATGCCTACTCTTAGTCTTGCCATACAACTATTTTCACTCTTTCTGAGTTTGTGTTTTAGTTTCCACATCTCTGATAGCTGTTTCTTCAGATGTAAGGCCTGCATTTCAGTATACATTTCTCTTTCTGTAGTCTTTTGTAACATTACTCTGCTGAATATGTCTTCCTTCTCTTATCTCTCAGTAGTGTACATACATTTAAATCTTCATTCAAATGATTGGGGGCTACTACACCTTGACCTATAATTTACAGCTGCACTTTTGCTATATCTACATCCACCAGAACCTTTATAATGTTCTCCATAGATGTCAGCGTAAGGTCTAACAACGCATTTTCCACCTTTTTCCTTTCCCTTTACGCACTGGTTGCAGCCCTTCATTTCTCTTTCAGTTTTTTGTAATCTCACTGGCAGCTCACTTCACTTATCTTTACTCGCCGTGTTCTACTCTGGCAGCTCAAACAGTAATGTATTATAGTGTCAAGCCATAAATCGTTGGTGCAGTTAATTTTAGTACTAATGATAGGTGACAGCTGATGAGCATGTTACAGAAAAGGCATTTTCTCGAGTTCTAAAAACACACTCAAGCAATATGTACTTTATGTTGCTTCATTTATAGTTTTCCCTTTTATCATACCTTTTATTCTGGATGAATAACCATCATTTAAACAACCTATTTAAAAAGAAATCATTTGGGAACATAGACCAAAATGGTTTCTCTGGAGTATTTATGCTTATGCATGGCAACTGTGTATTTTGTTGCCAATGTACTGGCACTTTAAGCCGCTGGAAAGCTCTTTTGATGCAAAGGAACTCAGAATATCTTTCATAACTGAAAGGATGAGTGACCCTCTTCTCAAATATTTATTCTGCCAACACGCATGTCAAGAGCATGCAGCCCTGATAGGATTGCCTACATACAATATGATTGGAAAGGTTCCAAGGTTCTTCGTAAGTTGCACAACAAAAACATGTTCATATAAATGACTGCTTTAGAAAAAATATGGCCAAATGATTGCCACTCATAACGACCTTACATTATCCTTATGGGAAATGCAGTAGTCTTTTCTACAGGAAGTACGTAAGAAAGAAATACTCCATACACATATCTGCAAAGATGTTTCCTGTTTACTACATATTGGACAAACATACATCATATACGCAGAAACAACACAGAGTGGGAGGTCTTTTTAAAATGTAATTATTCTCTAAATCAATAATTCAGCCTGCATGTTTCAAACATGATGCATTATTTCACTCTCTGAATCAAAAGGTGAAAGAGGAAAATCAAATGATGAATGGTTGAAGGTGAACATGGTAATGCAGGATCTGGCCTTTGGCTATTTATCTGCTTCCTCCTGTAAGATGTGGCATTTTCATATTTCGTATTTAAACTTTGACAGTTTGATATATTTGAGATAATATAACATCCAACACCCTTGTTTGACTTTCCCGATGATCTTTAACAGCGGAGGATGGCTTTTGTTTGTTTGTTTATATATTTGTTTCGTTCTTCGAGAATTGAGCAGTATGACCTTGGAGGTTGAGCTCCAGGGCTGATTTGTCTCTGCTAAACAGAGACTGCTTTCCAATCTGCTGTCTAATTATGTCTCCACTTCATATGAGTCACATTTACCCCTTACAGTAGTTGTTTGTACCACACTGCATAAAGCATTTACTATTTTAGTAGAGGGGGAAAACTCCAAAGTGTTTATTCCACTTGCCCAGAAGCTTGAAAACCCACACAAATATAGTTCACACTTTGATACAGGGGGTGGAAAGAGAAATTCAAAAAGCTGCATTATAGAGCTGCTCTGCCTTTTGTAACATGGTTATGTAAAAAAACAACAACGGAGAAATAAACATGGCTGCTCGGCCTGTGGCTCCTCAGCTTGACATTAATCTAACCAGGGTCTTTTCATGGGAGTGAAGCGGGGAAATCGATAGATGGACCACCTGTTTGCTCAAACAGCACAATGAAAAATGAAACCGTGGATTTTTTTTCCGCCTTAGGGTACTATAAGGAGATCTTTTCTAATAATATATTAGGGTGTCACCAAGGTTAGATTAATTATACATGGATTACAAATCACACCTTGCAAAGGTACCCACTCGCTACTGCGGATGTATGAAATGTACGGGGTGGGTGTACAGTACTGTATATTTGAGTAGGAAAAAGCTCCATTGGCACTGAAAGCATATCTGCATTCTAGACTAATGGGGGTGGATGTGGTGACCCTGAGAGCTCAACACAAATACTAAGTAGATGGAACACAGTAAACAGTACAAAATACATAAATTGAATGCGAGTGAAAAATACACAACTGCCATGGTTAGTGATGCATGGAGTGACTGACGCTAACAACCCATCTGTGTTGTTGGAAAACGAGTTAACAGTGGAATAAAACGCTAGGTGTTAAGCAAATATCTTAGATAACATATCTGAATCATGTAATCTTACATAGTAAATATGTATCTGCTGGTGTCTATTTTTTAGGTTGCAGTTGCATTCAACTCTGTCACTGTAGCAATACTCAATAAAAGAGTGATGTATGTATTTTTAAGGATAGTAATCAAGAACCTTTCCCGTTGAGTATGAAGTTGTCAAATTCCCTGGAATAGCACGCCTCAGTGACTAATCGATTCCTCTTATTGATGCTTTCTTACATTTCCAAATGTGCAATGACCTAACAGCTTACACATTTCAGGTCACCATTGCATTGCAGAGAGAGAAAAATAGCTCCGAAGCATGGCACTGATTAACATGTGTGCCTTTTACCTAGCAACACTTGGTGACTTGAATAATTGAATAAGGCTTGTATCGATAAGAGGTATAGATAATTAATTTCTATCAATGAAATCATACCAATTCTCATCCCTAGTGTTTAAAGTGTCTTAATCGCAACAGCCAACATAACAGCAGTAACATTAATTTGTTGTTTGCTTGTCTTGCCTCAGCATCTCACTGTTTTGGTCATCATGCAAATGATGACTCATTGTTTCACCTGTTTGTGGTTAACTAGTACTTGAGAATGCAGAGCTGTTTTCAGAGCTTGTGTTTGCGCTAACTTTGTGGACCATCTGCTCTACAGAGAAAACTGGAGGTGAATCATAAAGCTCAAATAATGTTTTGTTTATCATTTCAGTCTCCGGTTGCCTCTGGTTTCTTGCCAGCTGTTGGTTATTTGGACTTACCTCGTTCAGATTTGTCTTAACATATTTCTCTGTACAACAGTCCAGTAAATATTGTACTGACAAAAACAAACATGTATGAATGTTTCTGTGTTGTCTTCAGTGAGCTTAAATGTCGGTCAGACCACCTGTCTGTCCTGCTTAAAATCAACAATTCCCAACAATATCTGTGTATGTGAATCAAGTCTACTCCAACAAGGGGGTTTTGTGCCAGAGCCCGAAGACGTACAGAGAAACGAAGCGTGCAATCAAGTGATTCAAATCGCTTACGGCAACATTTATTTTTATTGGCTGCCTGCTATGCAAGTGTTTGACAATATCACGTTTTCCAGTGTGCTGTTAATAAGAGCAGGTCACGTGAGCCAGTGTCAGTGAGCCTAAGGGGGTCAGCTTAATTGGGTAATGTAGTTAATAACATCTGAAGGGTGATGAATGGCCAGAGCTCTTTCTTGCAGAGTTCTCACACAACAAATGAGTTCCATTAAAAGCCGCAGTTAAAGGAAGTCCGAAGAAAACGGATTAACTTAAACTATCTGGATTCAGTCATTTTCAGGCTATTGGTACACATTACTGGATGTGTCCTTATTTATAAGCTTGTTTATGTATCCTTATTTGTATATCTGTTTTTAGCACAGTCAATGGTGGCTGCTTATTTTCCATGTAATATCCCTTTTGAAAGATGAAAAAAGGAAAGCATACCCTTTAATTAAATCAACATCTAGGACCTTTTTTTATTGCCAATTAACTTGGTTCAGTTACATGAAAGGGTTTTCATTTTAAAGAGACTCGGGAAAGCGAGATGATGGGCAGCTCCAATTGCTACTTTTAGAATAATTTGCTGATTTTGATCAGCACTACCATAATATGTCTGCTTTGAAATGAAAGGACTGAAAACATTTTTTTATTGGAAACCACAGTCATCAAAGGTATATAATGTATTCTCTGCATGATGTTTTTGCGTTATATTCTCACAACTTAAGCTTTGTTGTGGAATCAGAATCAATGTTGTGGGTGATTTAAAGTAATTTGAGTCAATGATTATAAGCATACCATTCTGTTAGATCTCAGCACACAAGAAAAGCTCATATTCCTCCAGTTCTTCCTCTCAGCTTGTGACTTGTCTCTGTGAGGACAGTCGCCCTGAGGAATGGGATGCTGTATTTCCCGAGCATCCCCAGGAGTGGCAGAACACAAAAAGGAATGACACAGATTATGGGAGATTTATGGGACTGATGAATACACGCTCTTTTATGCCCCTCAAAACAGCTTTTCATCAGCTCCTCACAGTGTGTCCAAGTGATGGATGAGAGCAGTGTTGGTTCTCCTTGTCCACTCCTCAAGCTGTATATGCTCTGTCTTTCCCATCCTAGATGCAGATTTACCTTTACAATTCGGATGACTTTGACAGCCTCAGCGCTGCCATCAAGGAAAGACGCATCATTGCTGCCATGTCCGTCTTCTTTGAGGTAAGGAATCACCAGCTCTGAAGGTCAAGACAAATGTAATCTGAAGAAAACTGAGACTACACGGTTGCACTTGTAGTTCACTTGAACAGAGACATTTTGATCAATGCTAGTGGCATGTTTCTAGGGATGACGAGGGTCAGTCTGTTGGTCAGCCCACTTCTTTGATCCTGCCAGAAATATCTATGTGGCTATGCTAGCTAGCTACATGGTTTACTATAAATGTGGTACACACATCCATGCCGCCTTTAGAATGAATTTACTTTGGTTATCCGCTGACTTTTTCTTCTAGCGCCACCATCATTCAAACAAAACCTGCACAACAAATGACATTCCCATCAGCCTCAGCTCTACTTGTTTTTCTTGTTTATTTGTAAATGTTAGCATGCCAACATGCTAAACTAAGAGAGAGAACATGCCTAATATCAGCATGTTAGCAGTATTGTTGTAAGTTGTGCCTAAGTACAGCCTTACAGAGCAGCCTGCGTTGCTGAAGACTCACTTTGCCTATTTGTAAAGATGTATCCTTTATATCAATATTAGTTTTCTCAAAAGCATTTATTTGCGTTACTTGCATAAATTGTGATTACTTTAAACTATGAACAATAGAAACCAAGTGGATGGTTAAATAAATATCACAAAATGAAAGAAAACAGAAATGCAGCCGTGGGAATTGTGCTAAGAAAATAAGAGTTATTGTCAAAAGAAAGATGGAAAAATATTTGATGAGGCAATTTTGACTCAAGGGGGATAGTTGTACCTGTATAATTCCAATTACGTAAAGGACTGAGTTGGTAATTCGCTTTGGAGGTCAATACATTTTATCTAATCATTAGTATTGTTTTTTAGGCACCTGTGTTGGGATAGGAGAGTTTATCTTCACCGAGTAGCCGATTATTTTTCTATTTACTGTAGCACATTGCAGATTGCTAACCCAGATACTACAAATTGTCCCCTGAAGGTCTGCACACATAAGCTCTTAATGGACAAGAATGGTCCTAATTTCTGTTAACAGTTAAAACACTTCAAAGATTTATGAACCGTGAAAAAGCATAGACCAGCAGCACATGTTGTGCTCTTAGTTTCTATTAGCAGTATCTTTACGATTGATGGCAGGCGATCAATGCAGGCTAACTTTCAGCTTAATAGTATATAGACAAGGGTCAGCTCTCAGGAAGAGTGAGGCTGGAATGGGGACACAGGTGTTTGTAATGTAGGTCTACTCTCAGACACTGATAAACCGTGTGTGTACGAGGACCTAAATGCCTCCGCTGGGTCCTGACAGTCCTATTGCTTACTGCAATTAGCACCACCATACACAATCCGCTGAACAGCAGTTTACAGTGCAAGAGTTTTTAAAGCGGACACACACACATTGGCTCAGATTCACCATTTCTAATCAATGAGCAAAGTTCTTCCTTGTCTCCCCAAAGGCCTATTAATGGCCTCTGAGGTGTGCATATTATCCACATTCAGCATTCAGTTGCACACAATTATTCTCCTCTGACTGACCTGAATTAATGTTGAGCAAGAGAAGATTGGTCCCCTCATCCCAACACTGTTTTGCCCAGTCCTCTCTCTTAACTAGGACGTCTGGGAATATTGCAGAATGTGGGGCTGAACAACATTTGCCAGTCTTCAATCATTTCAAAGAATTAGCTGTAGGCCTAATAGATAAGGAGGGAATCAACACTGGTGTTGGTTCTCTGGAGACGCTAAAGCTTAGGGCCAAACGGCCTCATACGGTTACTGAATACCTCCTGCTAAAGGATATCTTTCAAAGCTCATAAAATGAGAAAATGTGCTCACAAAAATGTAATGTAATAAAAAATATATATATAATGAAAAATTGAATCACACTTTCCCCCCAAAAGAACCATTAATATTGATAATCAAGGTTTGGTTGTAAATACCATTTATAAGTTACGCAATACAGTACTGTATAGTCGTGAGTACAACCCCAGAAACAACAATCATCTTTGACGTGCACTTTCAAAATCGTACTAAAATGAACGTCATAGCCTTCACAATACCAATAGATGGCATTAGATGCTGCTGGCTTATATCTTGTTTGTAGAGATGTTGCCCTCATTGTGTCCACTCCCTGTATTTTGTTCACATTGATTGTCTTTAGTCATTATGTGAGATTATTGTTTGGATCTTGTAATCCCTTTTGTAATCTCTTGTCTCTGGCCATTTCCTGCAGCTGGGGCAAAAAGACAATCCAGCTGTAGAACCCATCATCCAGGGATTGAAAGGAGTAGTGCATCACGGTAAGGAATGGAGATGTTTGAGTTTTTTGTTCATTTGCTGTACACTGATTGTTTTTCTCCTCCACATGAAACACAACTTAGAACATTTGATTAATTTGGTATTTGCAAAAGCTATTATCCTTACAAAATCCCTCTGACTTTGCTGTTTTGCTTGATCCTAGAGGTACATTCCCAGTGATAGTGAAGACATTGTGCTCCTCCCTTTACCTTTTAGAAAAAACATTAATGCTCTTCCTTTAAGCATTGGTCTTCATCAGAAAAACAAACAAACACATTGGAATCTAAACACAAGATATGAGGAGAGTTTAACTTCAAAAGGAAGAAACATTTGCAAGATACCGCCTCTCCCTTGGTAGTACAGCTCCACAGCAGGAGACCTCCGAGGAGCTTCACTTGCAGAGAAAGAGCAGTTAAATTACCTCTGAGCCTCAACTATACAACACTCTTATTCCGACTCAGACATACATGTTTATGGATCGTGGGCCCTGGCTCCTGCGTAGGCTAAAACTCACACTTACACTGTTAATGTCTGTTCATGGCATTTTTTCTTAAATCTCTGGCTGCTATGCTGCTTTTACTGCATGCGTGACTTATGCAGACCATAAACAGATGTTTTCATGTGACTTTGTAATCCTTCACTGCCTCTTAGGACACAGCAACTCTGTTTACACAGACACGTATGGCTTCTTTTACAACCTGCCCCTGATGGTCTTTATGTGAGCATAAGCACACAGTGACAAGGACATGTAACTGGATGAAGATATATAGGAGCATAGAGTTATTGCTGTTTTCACACTAGTGCTGGGCTTCATGAGTCGTTTTTAATTTCAATTTCACACTCTGTACCTTCCTGGAGATGGGTATTTGATGTTATTTGGTATTTGATGGGTTCGGTTTTGACTTTTGCGTTGAGCAAAAAAACCTTCTGACTGAGCAGGAAAAGAAAAAAACATGTCGCGGGGGGGGGGGAAGCTCACTTAGAGACCACTGTAGAGTTTTTTTAAAAGCTTGTGAATTGGCTCCAGAATCTGAAAATGTGTCGCTTTTTTCAGTGAATTCTTTGCACTCAAAATTCCATTGAAGTAATTGCAGTAAGGAAAATGGCTTATTTTCTGGTTGCTCTATTATCAGCTGGGAGACCATTTTACCTCTAGTTTCCTTTCCATACGGGTATGTATGCTGTTTTTTGCTACACAACCTTGATTAAGACAGGTTGCCAAAACACTTAATTGTATAAAGTCATTTCATGAATCTCCATCAGCCTTGTAAAGTGGCTAACCCTTTCACAGATGTTCGTGCTAATACCACAGTATCTCATTTTCCGGCTGAGAGAGAGCTCAGTGTGGGTGTGGTGGTTTTTGGATTGTCTTCCTGCTGGCTGCTAAATGCTCCTCGCCTCCTCCCCTGTTAGGTTGGTTGGTTTTCCGCTAGCTCGTTATCCCACAGTCATCCATCCATCAGCATCTCGGCGGCCCATGAGCGATAGGGCACGTACACTGTCTGAAGACGGGGAGAAGAAAGGCTGTGAATACTGAATTTGACTTTGAGTACAGATGAGGCATGGGGGCGAGGCTTCCAGTGCCTCTGTAGTCCTATCAGTCCTATCACCCCGAGCTTCTGCTGTTTTAGACAAGTTCATGAGCTGTGAGAGATTGTATTTGACATCAATTCCGCTTTATTTGTGTTTTTCATGTCATAATTCAAGCGAAAAACAAGCCCACTAGCATAACCCACACAGCGTAATTGCAGGGGATAAAGGGATCTTCCTGCTGTTCTGTTTTGTTTTTCTTTACACAGCTTTCCGTGGTTCTGATCACGGAGGACAGAACTGAGCCGGTAATCATTTGGATCAGTCTTAATCCCTGCAGCCCATGTGACAGTTGTTACACGTAGAGTAGGCAACCACCCAGCCACGGATCAGCTGTCAGAGCAGGCCACTTTATCTGACTCCTCTCCCGTTGCTCCTTTCTACGGAGGACCAAAGGGAGATATTTGTGTAAAGATATGTAAAGGCCAGAGTGATAATAAGTGACAACTGCTGTCACCATAATTCCACTAGTGGGGGTTCAGGAAAGCATGGGGGCGAAATGAAATAAATAAATATATGTTAACATTGGACTAAATGTAACTGTAGATATGCAGAGTTTTCAGTAAAGTTATTAAGGATGGTAAGAATGTTATATTTTTGTACCCTGACACATTTTGATCCCATGCTCTACCCAGAAAAGGAAACAAACCTCAGGTCGTTCATCCTGAGGGATCTGCTGCCGTCGTCCGTGGACAATTACTACCGATACACCGGCTCTCTGACCACCCCGCCCTGCATCAAGGTGGTGGAGTGGATCATCTTCTCCAGGCCTGTGTATCTGTCCCACTCACAGGTGTGGTAACTCCCCACACATACATGCCAAGACATTCTTCATTTGCACACAGTCACTGGATCACTTGCTGTACCAAGTTTTCACCGCACAAGCAATTTTTCCCCTCATCTACCTCTCCTCCTTCTTCCCGTTTTCCCTCGTTCCTCCCCAACTCCTCTGCATATGAAACCATAACTGCTCATATAGTGGATGAGTAAGCAGGGACGGCGAGCCAATTACTCGCCTTGGAATGATAGTGTGTGATCACTTGCATGCATATACTATGCTGTTGGTCTGAGACTATAGCGTCTTAAATATAATACTGCTGCACACGGAGGCTGCTAATAACACAATTAAAATTGGTCAAGTACAGAAATGTTCATTAATTTAAATTAGTGCAGTACATTTTTTACATATGTTGAGTGCAAAATGAAGCATTTTACAGGACTCGGCTATATGCTTTACAGCAGTTTAACTCCACCTGGGTTTGCGATTTGTGATTTTGAGAGATAATATATGCCAAATCATGCCCCATGCTTTTTGCTGATCCCATACACAGTACATTGCTGCATCTTTTATACATACAATTCTTGGGTAACTCAGCTGCGCATTCTCTAGAGCGTTCTGTGCGGTAGAAATTTGCAGGGCTCAGTGGAATTTCTATTAACTTGCAAGAGGACAAATCTTTTGTTCAAAAATGACATCTGCTGCAAGAATATTGACCAGCGCCACAATGTTTGTGACGCTTACAGATAGTCTTTTATGAACCTGTAATTTATTTCACCAAGCACGCATAGGACACATTGATTCCCCAGTATCTGTAATATGTAGTCATTACAGCGCGCGGCAGGAGATCATTCATGGCAATCAATGGCCACAAATTTGCCCCATTGAGAAGTTACAGCCCAGTAGGTAGCCAGGATGATGATTGAGCTCTGTGCTTGCTGCTGCCTGTGGTGTGGATGTTTCTTGCAAATACTCTGCAGCAGTTGTGAACAGTCAGCTGCTGGCAAGTGGCTAAAAATGCAGTCCTGCATGATATATATTTTATTCATCACGCACACACACACACACACACATACACATACACATACACATACACATACACATACACATACACACACACACACACATACACATACACATACACATACACATACACATACACATACACATACACATACACATACACACACACTCATAGTAACACTATCACTTAAATGTTGCTTGAATAGCTATTCTCTGTTTCTTTCCCTCTAGCTGGAGGCCTTTTACTCCATCTTTACAACAGAGCAACAGGACCACGTCAAGTCTGTCGAGTACCTGAGGAACAACTTCCGGCCCCTGCAGGGCCTGGATGATAGGAAAGTCTTTAAGTCGGCTGTAAAGGACGCATGGCAGAGAGATTTAACTGATGTCCTGAGTAGTCCTCACAGCACTGAGGCTTCAAGAGGTAAGCTTTGTCCTCCATTGTATCACATTCCCTCTGTTTTTTTAACCACAGCACCACTGATTTTACCAATGATTACAATCCTGTGAATTTCTTCCTAGACAACAAATTGCCTACATTTTTTGTTAAGGTAAGCGGTTAGTATTAGTTCATTACTGTGTAAACTGCAGTTATACTGTATCAGAGATCCGCTTATGTCAAATCCCATTCAAAAGCTTCCCAAAATCCATACAGGCCATACAGTAGCTACCTGATTATTTTATTTTGCAATTTGCAAACTTGTACCCTGAATCCTGTTCCACATGCCTTTCATGTTGCACAAAGCAGATATGTAGTTTACAATGATAATGGTGTTAGAGTAACCCTTTTTTTGTTTTGTTATTGTTTTCTAAACGATGTGTCCTGGATTTTAAACATTGGCAAACAAAAGCAGACTCAGTTCTAGCCGATTGCACATTGATTTTCTTGATTGAAATGTCAACTGTCCCTGGAAGAGTTTGTTAGCTGTATAGTAACATTAGCTTCATGAGGCAGTTGAACATTTTGCCTGTCTTTTTGAGGTTTCCAGCTGACTGGTATTAAAATGACAACCCTCAAGGGGGTGTTTAATATAGATGTGATATAGAGGCTGAGGCTTTAGCATGTTTCATGCAAAACACAGCATCCTGACCAGTTAATGGTACGTGCATAGGAAAGGGAAATAAATATAGAATTGGAGGATGAAATAGAATTGGATGATGAAACCCTCTTTAATTGTCACACATACATGCACACAGCACATACAGTGAAATTTGACCTCTGCATTTAACAGAAGTGGGAGTTAGTCCTAGTGTTATTAGTATGATAAAGAAAAAGGATATGCTGACTCTTGGCCTAGGAAGGGCTATGGTACTTGCATTTGGTAAGCTAGTCAGCCTGACATGCTTGCATCTGCTAGTTCAAGCAAATCAACCTTTTTTAATCCATTCCTTTTCCACGTATTTGCTTGTTTTTTAGAACTAAACTAACCCTTTAAATGGCCATTTATGCTGTAACTCCTACTATATCACTGTTTGAGGAAAGGACTACTGAATTAGTCAAACTGTTGCCAAAGTTGTCAAGTAATGTCTCCTTACTAATGAAGAATGAAAGGATTATCACAAGGCCCCTGGGTGTACAGTCTGAATTGCATAGGACTAGTAAATTGGGCATATTGAGTCCTTGTGGGATTTGTCACAGAAATTGTTTATTTTCTCATGTCCCATATAAATCTGCAATCTCTACGTAAATGACATTAAGGATCACATTTCTTAAAATCACCACATCAATAGTTGAACATTTGTTGTGGTTTTAGAAAAAGATTGGTCTATCATCATAATACACATGTCATTTATCATTGTTACAAGTCATTGTTATATCAAAGAACATGTTAGTACAAAGCTCAGACCTCATGCAGGGCATGATTAGTGTATTTTTGTTCTTCTCTCTTTTATGTGTGCGTCTTGCGGCGCTTGCTTTAACCGAACAGTACAAGAAATATGGAGACTAATGAGAAAGGCTGCTGCGCCTTAAAGTGGTGTTGTTGGTGTCTGGTGGGGAGAATTGATTGGGAATGCTTGTGATGAAGTTGGAGCACTCTCACAAGGCCGATCAGCAATCATCATTAATATGTGGCACAGCTAAAATAGACCCATACAAATTAAGTTGTGAAATTGCTTTTGTGGCATTATGTCAGGAGGCAGAATGAATGTGGACCAGTGTCTCTCCATTTTGTTTCACTTCCCCCTCCCCTTGCTCCTTTTCTTTGTGTGCATTTCTACTTGACTGTACTGAAATGTAAGAATCCATACTTTATAGGAGGTGCTGGGAGTCAACACTGTCAGTCCTATCTTCAGGGGTGGCTTCTGTCAAGGTTGTGTAAGGTTGGATATTTATCTGTGCACAGTAAAGGATGGCTTTGCTTATAAATGTTCTGAGGGCCAGGGCCATACCTTGACTGAATGTTCCATCAATTTGGTTTTTACAGCCATCAAAGTTGTTGAGCTGTTAGCGATGCATAGCTCTGACGCATCATATAGGTAAGTAATATTACCGTGGTATAAAGGACAGTGTTTGCTTTATTACTCTAGCACTGTGATATTTAGTCAGTGGAGATATGGTCCATAGGGCTGCAACAGACCTTTATTTTGACCAGCTGAAAGAGTGTTGTATCTAAAACCTTTCAGTAAACAGTGAAAAAGCCTTGAACCTGCTCTCTTTTTACTGAGTACATTGAAAACCATATCATGCTTTACCAATACCAGTGGATTTACACATTTATAAAAGAGTATATATGTGTAAACAAATCATAAAGCAATGAGTTATCTTACTGTTTGCCAGTTTATTTCTCTCAGCTGTTAAAGTTTGGCAGTAGCTGTAGCAAGTCACACATTATGATACAATATTAATTGCAAGTACTGTGGGTAGTGTTGTTATTAAGCCCTCAGATGACATACATAATTAACATTTCCTGTAAAAAAAATAATGAATGTTCAAATCGGCTTTATCAGTTTCTTCAATTAAATGTTTGTTTTTTGGGTTATCAGTTTTACTGCTGTTTGTGGACAACTTTAATGTAGGATCTGTCGAAGATGTGTGTTCTGTCTGAGTGCCATTGTGGACTGAGAAACCAATATCAGGCTGGTTTTTGGATGTTACAGTGAGTCTATTCACTGAAAACTCCTAGGATTTTTCAGTAGGGACCATGTTAAGTAATTGCGCCAGTGATGAAACATTAGTAACTATTCATTCAAATCGCACTGTGTCTCAGTTGAAGTTTTTCTTTTCAGTTGAATCTGAGATAAAAGGACCAATCCATTTGCATACAATTTCTTTGAGCAGATTAACACGAGCACCTATTCATTTCGCAGCCAAACTGCCATTTTATGAAAAGGTTTTCATAAAATGAACACTTACCTTAGATCAATGATTTTTTCATTAATACAGCATTTCGTGTTTGCTCACCAGTAAACCAAATGTAAAAAAGTTGCCCCAATTATTGCGAACAAAAGAGGTTAAACAAAATACAAATACAAACAAGAATCACAGCCGTGTTCTATTTCAGGCTGCCCCATATGTGTTGATAAGATATTTATCTTGTACTTTAGATCCACGCCTACTGTCGATATTATCGTTGCCGGTGCTCTAGTGTTGATTGTGAAAAGGATGGTAGCTGACATGACGGTAATGATGCAGGCAGTAGAACCATGATGATGTCTTCAGCTGTCATTAAAATATCTGTTTTTGAGCTAGTGAAGTTGACAACGAACATCCGACGGGTTATAATGCATTTCACACCTGTCACACCTCATCAACACCCCAAGATATTTTTGCTATTGTGTGTGTGTGTTTTCCCCTGTGTACCTCTGACTGATTTCCTCCCACACTGTCTCCCTTTCACATGTCATGGTGCATAATTTGCACCATAGCTTCACTTTGTAAATGGAAAAAACTGTGGTGACAATTTCAATTTGACAGAAACCCTGTACGCATATAATCAGCTGACACTGGTTCCTGATTGCTGTTGCCCTGATGTGCTGAATAGCATGTCCAGATTGTCCCTTACTCATACTGACTGATCCATGTGTAAATATCCAATCTGCAGTCTACACTGCCACCTTGAGGCTGACTTACTTAATTTTTATATTCATCCCTTTGTGCATCCTGTTTAATGTTGCACAGACAGGAACTTGCAAATTACATATGGACAGGAAGTTGGACTATTATCTCTACCACATGTTTAGCACTACACCCAGCTGTTTAGTATTCTAACTGGAATCTCTTGCCGTGCTGTGGCATGAAAATGACACAAATGTCCATAATGACAATCTGCACCGACACTCGTTTTGTACGTGACCCAAGTTAAACCTCCAGGAGTCATTTTTTTACAATGAGTTACTATATTATTGTGCACTTGTAGAGGTTCCTCAAGTGATGGCTTTCAGTCAAGTCAGCAGCAGACAGTAATAATAGGCTTGTAAAAAGGCAACCACAAATGGGCACAAATACATATGGTCAAGCAGTACTCCTGAAACAGCCTTTCAGAAGATTGTGGAAAGTGACTGTTTTTTGCTGCTTCTTCATCCCACTCCCTTCTAATTTCTGGACTTACAGTGTGCAGCAGTGCCCCGGTGAACATGAAGATCCAGCCGCTCAACCAGACTGCGCTGATGGTGACCTGGGCGCGCCCTCTGACCCTCTACCACCCCCCCATCACCAGTTACATGGTCTCCTACAGCTGGGTGAAACGTGAAGTTGCTAACGAAATGACCTTCACCAACACTGGGGACCAGAGTATGGTGTGTATTATTATCACCTGATTGGTTTTCACAGTATCTGATGTATGAGGCTGGATCAGCCCAGTGTATATAGGAGGTGACAGGTTGTGATGTCCTCTGCTCAGGGCTGTTGCATGAAATGAGGGCCTGTACTGTCTCTGTCACTTACCTGTCTAAGAATAGACACACAGGACTGTCGCACACGATGACAAGTCTAACTGATACATATGTAATGTGTTGACAATGCCACAGTGGCCTTGTCTCAGTTAAATCTTTTTCCATCTATTTATATTTTACTCTGAGATTCAGGTCAGTACATTATAGGCTCAAACAGAACTTACAGCAAAAAGTAAATCAGACAAGAACAACATAAATCAAATATTAATTTTTTTACTTTAACATCTTGGAAACTTCTTATCATTTGAAAAAAATAAGATCTGTTTCAGGCATTGAAAGGCTGCTCTTTGAACACAAACTGTCGTCTTTTAGCAACCTACGCAGGCAACTGTGCTTGTGTAATTCTTTAGATCTCAGTGTTTGTCAAGTTTTTGACACCACTCACACTTCTGTTGTGTGCCTTCAGTTACCACTTCATTTATTTCTGTATCTATCAAACAGCACATTCACTGCCTGGCAGAAATATATCCTCCCATCTGCAGGAGGTTACACCTACAGGGCTGTTCTTTTTCCACGCACACTCTTCACCCTGGTCACAAATTCTTCCATTTGAGGAAAATCCGACACCCAGCTGTGCAACTCCTTTAAAGCCCACTGACCCCCAGCTGCATGACTGCCTCTTTAGATATAAACTGTGCAGTGCTCCCCCCCCCCACTGGTTCAGAGACTTGGGATCAGTTCCCTTGTGGCAGTACTCCTGTACTTCCAGCACGCGTTCCAGTAAATACAGTTCTCATCATCATGAGTGGGAAGCTGGTGAGGGAGTTGCTGCACTTCTGACTTCCACTGGTCGTTTGGAGCAGGGTTAATATCATACATTTAAGTCAAATAAGCAGTGATACTTTTTGTAAACTGAAACTAATAAATAAGATTTGTTCTTTTATTAAACTCAAATTGAATTAAAACGATATTACCTGGTTCATAAAAACTACTTACATTTATTACGGTTATTGGTTTTTAGGTCTGAAATATCATTGTCTAAAAAATTAATTCCTGTCCTCTCTTGTGACATTGAACCACAGAAATTAAACTGGTTTGACATCCCATAAGTTGTCACAATGTGATTTATTGTATCACATCAAATGCCTTTTAATCAAACTGTTTAACTCAGAACTGATATGAACCAAAAACCAACAAGACTGTGGTAGTGAGGTGTATTCATGTTGATTCTCCAAAATGCAGCTCACACCACACTGAGGATGGACCTTTTAGTGAACACCTTGTGTTAAGCAGTTTCATATTTAAACATCATTACATATTCATGATGTATAGTCTTACTGAAAGGAGGAGTTTATATTATTCAAAAATAAATCTCAAACAAATGATTATGAGTTAATCTTTACCTCTTAAACCTGCCTAAAGAGGAATGTATAGCTTACAAACTAATTACCAAAGCATTGGATGAGCAATGTACATGCAGGTTGGAATTAATAATCAATCAGGCTTCCTGCAGTCTAAAACTCCCTCACTAAAATGAACCAATGCTATCCTCAGCTAGAGATAAATGAACATGTATTTATTTCATTTAACGTCTTAGAAGTGGGGAATTGCAATTCCCCCCTGTACTGGTTACATGCTACGCTCAGCATCCTTCAGCTACATTTACACACCTTTACCCCTCATCAGCCTTACTGCTCCTCGAGGTCCTCTAGCAGAGCCGTCATCTCACCGCAGCCAAAGCCTTCAATTTCCCATATTCTGTGAGTTTGACATGAGATCCTCTATACTGGGTTTGAACTTGCTTGAGGCTTCAAAACGTGTTCATTAAACCTATATACTTCAACCCATGCATTGACCAGTAATTAGTCTTATTTGGTTACTTGCTGTCTTTAACAATTATCAGATTGAGTTTATTATCAACAATTTCTTTGTTTGGTCATAACTAAAAAAGTTCTTCTGTTGAGAGATGTGTAAATGATGTTGTTTTTCTACATTTATGGTAGATGGCTGACTGAAGGAATGATTGATGTGTCCATGAAGTGCTACAGTATATGTGGCTACACTCCATTAATACAAGCGCTATATCAGGCTCTTTACCGACTGTATTCTCTCCACATCTCACTCTGTCTTATTTTGCCCACTTCATTCCCAATTCTATTTTCACTTTCTATCTCTGGACACTTTTTTTATCTGAATCTTTTACAGAATTGTTTTTTGAGAGCTGCTTGCTCTCCAACACCAGACGCAATCACCCATGTTCTGAAGGCCATTTAAATATAAGTAAAGCCATCTGCAAAGTGCACACAATTAAATTAGGCAACAAATGAGGTGTCAACTGAATCAAAGTTTTGGGTCATACACTGCTGACAGCAGCTAGTATTTCCATTTCAGACACCATGATGTCTCCAAAGTATTTTCATCCACACATTATTTCAACATGTTTTCAATTGGTTTCAAGTGTTTTTATGTGCGTATTTTCTCTTGCAGAGAGCCATCATCACTAATGTGTCCCCTGAGGTGCTGTACCTGTTCAGAGTGCAGGCAGTGTGTCAGCATGACCTGCGCAGTGATTTCAGCCAAACATTGCTGTTCAGAGGTACCTGACCAAAACCCTCCAGCCATCTAGTCAAAATGTCTTCTTAAAGAAGAACTCATTTCCCATGTCAGACACATGAAATGGATTTTAAAATGCTTGCTTGCTTTTTTGTTTCTCAGCTAATACAACAAGAATATTTGAAGGGTCTCGGATTGTGAAGACTGGCATGGTGAGTTGACCAGAAGATGGCAGTGCACATTTTTTGTATGTAAGTACCAGTCATGTTGTTCTGTTGCTCACTTTCCCTCTGCCTGTCTCCGTCAGCCCACGATTTCTCCAGCGTCCTCAGCAGACATGGCTCCCATCAGCTCTGGTTCATCCACTTGGACGTCCTCTGGCATCCACTTTTCCATTGTCTCCATGGCAACGGGGATGGGCCCCTCCTCTAGTGGCAGCCAGGCCACGGTGGCATCGGTGGTGACGAGCACCTTGCTGGCAGGCTTGGGCGTAGGCGGAGGGGTCATCTCTTCTTTGCCCAGCTCTGTTTGGCCCACACAGACGCCCCCGGCAACGCAGAATCCCACTCGTCCTTCCACCCCGCCTGCCAAGTCGAGCACCGAGCAGGCGGCGGCCCCGGGCCCTGATAAAGACACCCAGTCTGAGGAGAAGCAGGCTGCAAGTGAGGGCGAGGAGGAGGAGGAGGGGGAGAGAGAAGGAGAGCAAGATGAAGAAGAAGATGAGAAGAAGAAGAAGAACAAGCCTGCACCTGATAATGAGAAGAAGCAGGCGAACAGCACTGTGGCCAAAGAGCCTTTAATCCCCACCCCCGCATCCACAGCCAAAGAGAAAGGAGAAGGGAAGCCTACAGTCAAAGGCACTGCAGCGCCCGTGTGCACCGGTGGCGATGAGCTGGTCAACGTAGAGACAAATCTCACTGATGTAAATGCAGCCCCCACTCAGGAGCCTCGTAATGACACTGCAGAGATGCAGATTCCACAGAGCTCCACACTGTCCCCAAAAATCAGTAGTGATGGTAGGAGTATCTGGCCTTTCTCCGTACACACTGGTGAGAAAACCTCTCTCCCACTCAGTATTGTTTGATGTCCCTTCACAAACAGGCTCAGCCCTTTTGAATTCACTGCAAAGCTTTGCCTCCTGTTGTCAGCTATCATACAAGACAGGGCTTTTCTCCAAAGCAGAATTTTAAAATAACTACCAACAGTTACAGAGCCCATTGTAGAATAACAAACACATTGATTTAAGACAGTGACTACACTGGTTACAATTGCAGTCAAAGATAATGCTCCAGGCTTTTGTTTCACTACCACGCAGAGGCCTGAAGGCAGAAATAAGTCATCTGCCACAGGGTTCTGCCTTCAGTAATCCCTTGAAGCGTTTTTTAAAAGAGTTTGAGGTTATCGGAAGATATTTCGCCAGAATTGTTACCCTTTTATCATGAACAGTCTTTTTTTTCTGCTGTTAAAGGTGTCGCATGTTTTTAACCACAATGATCATATGGTTTATTATTTTGTATAGGTGTATTTTAACTACGCTAAATATTTAGCTCAGGTTGACATATAAAATGAAAAGTACTTTAAAACACCTTTAAATTTGGCGACGCCCAGTGGTGGCATCAAAAAAGACACTTAAGCAGGCACATTTGCATGCTAATACACCCCTCTTCTCCTTTATCAGTCGTGCAGACATGGAATAAAGGGCTAAGAGCAAGATGTTTTTTTCAAACAAAAACTTAATTTTAAAACTGCTGTAAACACATGGACACTTACAAGTTTGTAAATGAAATGTCATTTAGTATGATTGGTGCATGTATTTACGTGCATGTGTTACTTTCCAGACACAACCATGTTGTCCAATGTGACCCGGGTCCCTCACCCAGGGATGGGGAGGATGGTGTGGATTGTCCCCTTGGTGGTGGTGTCCGCTCTCACACTGCTCTGCCTCATAATGCTGCTGATCGTGATGATCTACTGGAGGTGAGTTCAATTTACCTTTTTATAAACATGTATACATCTAAAATAAAGTTTGCTGGAACCATAAACAGCTTTGCATAAAGTGGTAATGCATACAGAAAATCCTCTGCTTGATTCAAGGGTATCACTGAGACCTCCCTTGGGGGTATGGAAAACTAGCTGCCCCTCACCCACACTGACCCCCACCCATAAATCTCACATTTCAGGTTAATTGACACGCCTGCATGCATGTCTGGATTTCCCAGTCAGTCTGCTCCACATTCAGACCTGTCTGGTTTGATTGCGTCTGTATTTTGCACATCTTTGTATGTGAATGCATCAATCTTAAACAGTCTGGTAGCAAGACTGCTTTAATGCCTGCATGTCGTACATCAGGCCCATCACCCACCTGGCTGAGGGTCAGGAGAGCTGGAGGCCCGGCACAGCCAGCAGGGGTCCCAGCTGTGTCTTCATCTGCTGGGCTCATTTCCAGCCACTCTATTGGAGCCCCAGTAATTACACAGGCCAGGCCACTGGCACATGTGGGATGGTTAATGAGTTACAAATAGCACTGTGGACCATCTCCTCAGCTGGTCCCATGAATATTTACTGTCTGCTTTTAGTTTGGTAGCATTTTGTTTATTTACTGCCTGAGATTAATTTGTGTAAATACATGAAATGTGTTAAATGCATTTTATAAGGACAAGGACATTTTCCTAGGTGTGAGATTGCTGCAGCAATTTTTATGGGCCAACAACACCTTAATGTGCCTTTTTGTGGTGTCATATAATATAAGAGTGTGGTATAAATAACAGCCTGCTTATGAGCTCCACAGAGAACAGACCGTTGAGAGAAAGACGACTGTAGCGAATTCAGTCGGTGCATTACTGAAAGTTGTGCTATTTGAATAGTAGAGCAGGGGCAGTTTTAATGTTAGACATGAGCAACACAGCTGTTGTTGCTACAATGCCGACAGTTCACAGACAATGCCTGCTTCCCCTGGGGAAAAGACAATAATGAGAGAGGAGACCAGCCCCTTCGCAGTCTCTTCACTCATTATGCTCTGCATAGTCTCTCTGGTGGTCGCTATAAAAACTAACAGATGTTTTGATCAGCATCACAATCTATTTAATATCTAATGTTTACTTAAAAAATATGTAATTAATGGGCCATGTTTTGAAGTTTAATACCGTTGTCTTAGTTTTAGCTTGTTCATTTTCAAAGTAGGTCTTAGATGATGTCTACAATGGAATTAATTGCTGGGTTTACAGAACACATCTGGGTGCCTCTGAGGCTTGAGATATGAGTTAGACACTCACAGATGTTCAACTGAGGAAAGAAAAACATTAGCGACTCAGTGCTGCTGATGCCTGTGTTGAATGGGATGCCTCTCTCCCCTGACATCCAGTCTGAAAGCCTGTTTCATCCTAGATTATTTTCCCCCAAAGCAAACTATTCTTCTGAGATCATGGGAGCGATTCAGGGAGGAGGTGTCGACTCTGCTGGTTAGTTAGCGGCGCCACATCTGCACCCACAGGGAGTAATTGGATTGCGAGGCTGTGACGCAAGCCAGGAGAGAGCCCTCCTTTCTTTTTGTTTTTCACCCTCCTCTCTCAGTCTTTCTCTCTCTCTCTCTTCCTCTCTCTTTCTTTATCTTTTTATTTTTATTTTTGTTTTACAGTTTATCCTTTTTTTTCTTCTCTCTATGCTTTGCTTTATTTACCTTAAAGAATGACAAGCATCTGCTCCCTCCTCTGCATCAAGTACAGGTAGGATTAAACCTTTGAAATGCCAGCAATGAGATAAAACATGATTTTTTTTAAAGGAATGAATTCATTTGTATTGTGTGTGTGTAAAGAGGGTGGGAAGGATGTGAAAGGTCCCTCACCTGCAGACAGTTTCTCAAAAGAGCAATATTTGTAAATGTATTATATGGAGAAAAGACATCTCACTAATGTTAGAATGTTGATTTTGTTAGGTCTGTAAACCTTGAGCTGTGTAGGGAGGATTTATTCATTTGAAGGCAAAAAAAGATTTGCTTTTGAAAGAAACATGAATTGTGTATGGAAAAATAATGAACATCAACATTTTTGTCTGGTTTCGATTAATAACTTTATCCTTTCCATATGATCATCATTGAGTAGAAGCTGCTGGCCACAATATCACACATGTTCCCCTTAAGAAGCAGCTTGAGTGGATTTTGTTGTCCTCAAACTGGAGTGGGATCTCCTGAAAGTGATGTGTTTTGCCCCGAAGAGAGAATCTGTGTTTGGATTAGTTGTCTTGAGTTTGAGTAGAGAGCTAAATATTGCGCTGCACTGTGTGAAGCTGCGAGTTGTTTACCTGTTCCCTGTAGTCGGCTCAGAATATGTTTCCAGGAGCAACTCAGCGTCAACGACTCTGTGTGCGATCAGCTGTGTCCCGCTCACTCTGGGGCTTTCATTAGCAGTTTTCTGCTGTTCTCGTGTCACTTTATTCAACTTTTAGCTGCTGATGTTGACAGACCAGATCTGAGAACAATAGGATAACGACTCCCTAATAGACTTCGCTGTGGCATCTCACTGTTCTTCTCTCTCTGTGTCCCTGTAGGAGATTTTTCCAGACAGCTCACTTCTATGTGGAGGAGAGCAGCTCTCCACGGGTGGTGGCCAATGAGAATATACCAATCATCCCTATACCAGGTAAGGCTCATTATATAAGAATATGTGCTGTTCATATGTCCATAATTGTTTGTAAAAGTATAATAAGAGAAACAGTTTGTTGCAAGTTTTGTAGATTAGCTATTCTCAACCAAGGTTACTTGTATATGGTACTTGGTTGATTGGTGTAAAAGTTATGGAGTAGCTAAATAAGTTGGCAAAAAATAGAAACTATCATTTATATAAATGATAAATTGATGCAATGAATGGCTAACTCAGCTGCCTATATGTACAGTAGTGGTTATTCAGTTTAAAAGGTTAGCTAAAGTTATTAATATGTGGTTAAAATAGATAGCTAAACGTAAAAACTAAAACAATTGGCTAAACTTGGTAAAATTGTTTACTCAAACAAAAAAAGTTAGCCTAAACCAAAGAAATTAACAGGTAGAAAGTTAAGCTTAAACTAATGGAGAAATGGTTGAAATGATGTTGGTGTTAAGGAGGGTTCACTTGAGTTTATTTGACTGGACTTGGGGGGTAAATGTAAACACAAAAACAAACGTTATTTACCCTTAAATATAATAGACTTCTCGGACTGAAACTGAGGGCCAAAAGTATTCTTGAACTACATCACACATCTACAAGCACCTATTAACCGTTGTCAATGTGATTTCCTTTATGGCTGCACAGTTTCAGTCCATTTACATGTGAAATGGCTCTGGTGAAAACCTCTGTAAGAACTTTGTGACTGTCTTTTTGTTGCCTTTAATGTCCCAGGCAACAGCGCAGTGGCAGATAGTCGATATCAGACTTTACTTTCACTGTGGCTTAAAGCTCAGGGACATTTCAAGGCTTTGATACCACAGTAAAAGAGCACAGTTGATGCCAGTATTGACTACACATTAATTAGGTTTTTTCCCTTCTATATCCCCGTCTGCTTCTTTTCTTCCTTTCTTTCTGTCTTTTTCTTTTTCTCTCTTAGAAACTATGGACATGTTCTAGCAGTACATATATTCTGAATGACTAACCATGTGCCTGATGTTGAAAATGTGCAAGATAATTAAATGTAACGCTTTAAGTGCTAATCATTTGCATAATGTATCTCTCATTGATGTGTGTATACATTAACATGTTTAAAATAGAACATTTTAAAATGAGATTGCTGTTAAGTATTATATTGCTCACAGTGATGATGGGAACATATCTCTGCACAGTTTTCATCTCCAGTCAAGTAAAAAATGGACCCAATCACCCTCACTTCATTTAAATGTCTAGCTCCTAAAGCCACAATTCACAGAGAACCATTCAGAAGAACTGATTAGACTGATAAGTGACTCTTGACTCTAAAACGGGGGATGGCATTTTTGATAAATGAACAGATTAACAATCAAGAATCCACCTTAATGCCGAAACCACTGAGGCAAGTGAGAGCTCTTAAAGCCCCAGCTGCGGGGGTGTGTTAGTTAAGACATTCGCTATTATCATAAGCAATGACAGCTGGGTGCCCTGCCCTATTGTTCCAGTGTGATGGTGACCAGCCTTATCAAAAGATCCCTCTTGTGTGATGTGGGGCTGATTTGACTCCGATGAGACAGATGCTACCTCCTGTAAATGCTCAAAATACCAAATCTAGATATTTGTAATAACGTTCAGTCTCTTAAAGTGGCGCAATATGGATGATCTAGTCTTTTCTTTTGTACTTAAATAAATAACATTTCGGAAAAGAAAAAAAATATGATATACATTGGTTTCCATGTTTGGTTTCCAACAGACAAAACACTCACACAATGTACACGCACACACAATCTCAGTATACATGGTGACTAAAACAAACCCTAATAATGCACTAGATTCCCACACACAGTAACATGCACTTTGCTAACGGTTCTGTCTTTTTCCTGCAGATGACATGGAGGCCATCCCCGTTAAGCTGTTTATTAAACACATCATGGAGCTCTACAAGAACAACCTGCAAGGTTTTTCTGAGGAGTTTGAGGTACACTTTCAACACCACTTAAATACTGATTATTTGTAAAGCCTACTTAACCTTGAATATAAAACTAAAGGTGGTTTTAAATTGAAGTTGTGTTTAGTTGGTCTGTACGAAGGGAATAAACAGGTACATGTTTGCCTTTTAGTTCTGCTCGGCTCACATTGACTGATTATAAACCAACAATGAGAAGTAAACAAAGAGTCATATTGACTGACAGGTAACTCTTTGATTGGACGGTTTTGGCAGCTGTCATCTGCATCATCTGCAGTGTGGTCATGGCATTGCCTTAATTATTTGTTTGTGTCCTCTGCTGTTTCAAAAGATCTTAAAAATGTCCTGATAATTAGCCTTTTCATTAATAGTGTTTTTGGTTTGTTCATGTCGTACATTTCACTCAATCCTTATTGGCTGGACAGTTCACTGTCAGCAGATGAATGATTTAGCACTGATTTCTCCCCCTGTACTCTGCAGATGTTGTCTGCAACTGGGCCTGGGTCTGAACAGTGGTTAGAGATTATTTAATGCATGTGTCCGTGAGCAGGGTATTGAGCAGATGGTTGAGAGAAAGACGGAGTAAAAGATCAGGAGAGACGGAGGTTAATTAGAGAAGGTCTGTCTGCTGGTTGACTGGACGGGAACACATTCTCTGTGTAACCAGGTTAAGAAACGAGGAAAAGCTCTGACCCCAGAGGATTCCTCCTAATTGGGGTCATTTGATGTGAAGTCTGTGTGCGTAATTTTTTTAATGCATCACAATGAAGCCGTGTTGGAAATTCTAGTTGTATTTTAGGGGCGGGTGGGTGCAGCAGGGTGAAGTGAAGAAGAGGAGATGATGGCTGTCTTACTGGAGGCCTGGGTTCAAGACCCTGTGGCAGTAAGCATCTGCTCTTTTCAAGTGTCCTTGACCGAGACACTGAATCTCTTCTGAAAGGTTCTACTGTAGAGTTTATCCTGAGCTCCTGACGGATGAGACCTAGTTTGGAAAAAGAAAGAAAAGTTTCCTTGTAAAGATAACAGAAGGAAAGGGAAAGATGTACTTGTCATGAAATAATTACAGTTTCTTTAGAAAAATCATGTTAACAGTTAAATGGTGAATTCCAACGCATTTTTTATACTTATTTAATAATATCCATCTCTGTCTATTTTCCTCTCTCCAGGAGGTCCAGCGCTCCACGGCAGACCTGAAAATCACATCAGAACACTCCAATCATCCTGACAACAAGCACAAGAACAGATACATCAACATTGTGGCCTGTGAGTCAGCTGTAAAATCTGATTATGACGTCTACTGCTGCGCAATCCAGTTATGATTTTATAACGCGTTTTCATCCGTTTAATAATCCGAACAAATATATATCAATGCTCTCCCTAGACGACCACAACAGGGTGAAATTACGAGCTCTGGCGGGGAAAGATGCCAAACATTCGGATTACATCAATGCCAACTACGTGGATGTGAGTATTACAAACCGCTTATTAGTTTTCCTAATGCAGGTCCTGGTGTGGTTTTCTTTTTTGTGTTGAAATTCACCAGCAAGGCAAATATACATTAAAGTATCAAATCATAACACCGACAGACAGAGGAAAAAGATTGATTTCAAGAACATTGATTGATGTATAAATATTCAGAATGTCAGCTGAAGGAGTGGATTTCATGACCTACCTTTGTCAGTAATCCAGCCATATCGGCTATATCAGCGGTGGGTATAATATAAAATATTGATGGCATCTATATTCTCCCACTCTCCTGTTTCAGGGCTACAACCGGCCGAGAGCTTATATAGCTGCCCAGGGTCCTCTCAAGTCTACCTTCGAGGACTTTTGGAGAATGGTGTGGGAGCAGAACACAGGAATCATCATAATGATCACCAACTTGGTGGAGAAAGGACGAGTAGGTTCACTTTATTTAAAAGTAAAAATGCTCAGAAAAGCCCTTGCTGTATTTCATTGTTTTTATATAATTCTTTCTGTCTTTTGTGTCCTGTAGAGAAAATGTGACCAGTATTGGCCGACAGAGAACAGCGAGCAGTATGGGAATATTGTAGTGACGCTGAAAAGCACCAAAGTACACGCCTGCTACACACTGCGGCGTTTCCTTATAAGGAATACTAAAGTAAAAAAGGTAATTTAACGTCAAACTTGTTTTAATCTGTTTTGTTTGAATAATATTGAACTTTTTTTAAACCTGGATCAGTTTGAACCAGCTAATTGTAAAGATTTTAAAACCAGCTGTAAGTTGGTCCAAAATAACAGTTTTAAGGACCAAGCCATAAATTAAACTTTAGTGCATACCATTTCCAGTTTTCACAGTATTTTTTTGGTTAGTGGCATAACATTTGTATATTACGTAGGTCAATTGGGTTGTTTTTGTGGTATGTAATTCATATCTTCCTGGTTTACATCATTGTGAAGCAGTCACATTTTAACTGGTAACCTATTAACAAGCTATTTTTTAAAAAAGTTGTTCTGGTAATATCATTATAAAAGCTTAAATTATGCATCCCTATTTGAGTGTTGCTGAAATAGTGTTGCATTATATTACCACTTAGGCTAGTTATAACATTGTGTTTGCTAAGTTTGTTCTTAAAACAACTAACAGCTGATACAGCCAGCCCATGATAGTGTCCTCCCTGTGCGAATGACAAAGATTCTGCAATGGGTCACAAGTCTGCTCTCATGTTTTAGGGTCAAAAGGGGAACCCAAAGGGGAAGCTAAATGAACGCATCATTGTGCAGTTTCACTACACTCAGTGGCCTGACATGGGAGTACCGGAGTACACCCTCCCTGTCCTCACCTTCATCAACCGCTCGTCAGCAGCTCGCACTGCAGACATGGGCCCGGTCCTGGTGCACTGCAGGTACGCTGCTTACTGTAGTACTCAGGCTAAATGACTGTTAATTACTGTGCAAGTGCTAAAGTCTCATAATCCCTGATTTGGTTAACAGCTCCCTCTATGGGCCTGTCATCATGCTCATGTTGCTCTGTGCTTTGCTTCTCAGTGCAGGGGTTGGGCGCACAGGAACGTACATTGTCATTGACAGCATGCTACAACAGATGAAGGACAAAAGCACAGTCAGCGTCCTGGATTTTCTCAAACATATCCGCACACAACGTAACTACCTAGTTCAGACTGAGGTAAGAAGCCCGAATTTCTACCTTATGTTGTGAAACTATAATTTGTTCACATCAAAAAGGTCATCTATGATTTAAAGATGGAGAGGGAGTAATGAAATGTTTTCAGTTTGATACTCTGGGCTCAGGTAAAGGTCACATACCTGCTGCAATTTCATTTCAACGCTCAGTACAAAGTAATATACACTCACCACGATACAGAGGAATGTGTGCACTGGCTGTCCTCAGGCCACAGCCATGTCTTTGATTCTTTAACTGATGGATGTTTGAGGTTATTTCTGTGTCCTCCCACCTTCACTTTTTTCTGTCTGCACACCTTCTGATGTTGTATGTTTTGGCTCAATTCAGGCTCAAACTAACTTTCGTTTCTTTATTCTTGGTTATCTGTTAAATCAGATACAAGTGAGGACTTATGTTTGCAGGTTCAAATGATTAATACAGAATATAATTCACTAATACATAATGATCAACATATAAGTATATAAAGTATTACAAGATGGCCCTGTCCTTTTACCAGCTTCAGTATTAAAGTAATGCGTACACATTAAGGCATCCAGAGTTGTTATTCATTTATATAATATATATGATTCTGAAATGAGTTGTAACTTTTGGTACATTCAACATTCTTTCACATCGTTATAATATTGATCTATTTCATAGTTTTGTGCTCTTTTGCTCTCCCCTTTAGGAGCAGTATGTTTTCATCCACGACGCTCTGATGGAGCTCATTATGAGCAGAGACACAGAGGTGCCTGCCTGGCAGCTGCACAGTTACGTCAATAGCATCCTCACCCCCAACTCGGCAGGCCGCACCATGCTGGAGAAGCAGTTTAGGGTGAGTAAAGTTTATCCGAGTCTGACTGGTCCGTTTAGACGAGCTGTCACCGTCTGCAGAGGCACCGTCAGCTGAAATCAAGGCTGTTTTTGGATCAGAAGCTTGTTAGCAACGTGCACGGTGGCTTTCCACTCCCAGACAGGAATAGATTGAAGGCGTCTCTGATGTAGCTGCAATAAAGTCATGTCTGTCACCCCTGCTGCCTTATGCAAAGCTTGATGAATGTTTCATCAAGCTCCTGCTCAGTCAACATCAGTAGAGGGAAACGAATTGCTCGCCAATAATGTCCCTTCCTCCAGGGCTCCAGATGCACGTTATTAATGTTTTTTTTTTTTAAATGTATGATTCCATGGCACAGTGACTCTGAAAAGCTGACTTTTTGTAACTTGTGGTCTTTTGGTTCTGTCTCACCAGCTGTTGACTCAGTGCAACGCGCGCTTTGTGGAGTGCTTCAGTGCCCACAAAGATTGCAACAAGGAGAAGAACCGCAACTCCTCAGTGGTTCCCTGTAAGTATCTTATCTGTAATACCACAGCACACTTGTGATAGAGCTGAGGTTTTGGAGAACCAAGGTCATGTCTAACATGTAGAGTAAAGCTTCAGGAATCTGCACTCAGATCTGGTGATAGTGGGTTTACAAGTAAGGTATAGTGGTTGCAACGATATGGTTACATTTGAAGGGGTTTGGGAGAGACATTTTTAGCCTTTGCAGACCTTTGACACGCAAAAAGCCTATACTGTATAACATACTACAGGAACAAGAAGACCCCAAAAAGCATAAGAGTGCCTCTTTCATTTCAGAAATGGAATAAAATACTACTCAGTCTCGTAGTTTTCTACATTTTCCTGTTTTCCACTCCGTAAATTATTAAAGACAATTCTGCTCCAAAATTAGATTATATTTCCATAATGCTATAAATGAATCTTTCTATGCTTTCTCTGCACCCTGGCAGGGAAAATGACTTACTTGTTGCTATAGTAACAGCTAGGGCATGTAATGAATGTGTGCATTATCAGCCAGTGTAATATAGAGACCTGCAATTTAATACTTTTCTTTTTTCTCCTCTCTTCAGCGGAGCGAGCAAGGGTCGGACTCGCCACTCTGCCTGGAATGAAAGGAACAGATTACATTAATGCATCCTACGTAATGGTACAGTGTGTTAGCCCAGCTTCTCTTTCACTGCTCACTGTGTGTGTGTGGACATTTATTGACAGGTCTGACAGTTTGGATGACAGTTTCTGAGAAAATGATCAGCAGTCTGTCAAAGACATCCATCAGTTTGAGTGCTGTGAGCTTCTGAAAGGCTAACAGCTCCCATCTGTCACTTCAGGGTTACTTCAGGAGTAATGAGTTCATCGTTACCCAGCATCCCTTGCCCCACACCACCACAGACTTCTGGAGGATGATTTGGGACCACAACGCTCAAATAATTGTCATGTTGCCTGACAACCATGGCCTGGTAAGTAACACAATAATGGTCTTAATCTGTTGTTTGATTTGCCTTATATAGCTATAATTCTCATATAAGGAAACACTGAAATCTAGTCTGCAAACCAACAGAAAGCATAATGACAGCTTAACCAAAATAAAAACAAATAGCGAATAAATGAAGGTTGCTATGTTGTTTCTCTGCAGGCTGAGGATGAATTTGTTTATTGGCCGAGTCGGGAGGAGTCCATGAACTGCATCGCCTTCACTGTCACACTCATCAGTAAGGACAGACTGTGCCTCTCCAACGAGGAGCAGATCATCATCCATGACTTCATCCTGGAGGCCACTCAGGTACCCGGGGCCCACATGCACCGTCCTTAGATGAATGTGATTCTCTGTGTTTGATGACTTCATTTGTAGAGTCCCAATTAAATATCACATCATCTTCTGTCATGTGTGTCCTACGAGTGACATTGCTTTTCTGTGGACAGGATGACTACGTTCTGGAGGTGAGACACTTTCAGTGCCCTAAATGGCCCAACCCTGATGCTCCTCTCAGCAGCACCTTCGAGCTCATCAATGTCATCAAGGAGGAGGCCATGACTAGAGATGGCCCTACCATCGTGCACGATGAGTACGTTTACCTCCAAGTTGTTTTCAGTCAGCACAGGGACAGTACACGTCTACCTAAGATTCAGTGATAGAATAATCCAGGACTCTATAGATTAATTAATATTAATTATATTTGTAATACACACTGTTGAACTTGGACTCAGACAGTTCAGACGTGGTCCATGAATCCCTTGATGTTTAATTGCCTTTTACTTGTCCTTATTAAACTGTAGTACTTGCACTACAAGGATGAAATACAAGCCACTAAATGTGAAGTGCTCTCCATAGCTCGGGGTTTGAGTGTCCTCTTGTTAATGCTAGCGCTGACAATCTACAGGCGACTACCAAGATAAACAAAAGTGCCATTCTGAAGTCTCTCAGTAACCAGGCAACCATAACAACTTTCACAACAGTTCCCAGCTGATGTCTTTCCGACAGACCTTTGTGCCTTCAGCACCTCGGCTGCTGTTAGTGAAAACATCAGCTAATTGAATACTCTCCGCCACCGAAGGTCCTGATAATTAATCACACTTCATCCCTCATTTACCTAAAGCTGTAGCTGTTGTTGTCTCAGACTTCAGGCCACTCCGTCTCCCCGACTACTTACACCAGAGGCTAATGTGATGGGATGCTAATTGCTAACAATCTGTAAGGACTTAGTTGCTTAACTGCAGACTGGCAAGTTATTAACATTATATTCTCTGCAAACAAGTAACTGCCGATGTGTGAAGAAGTTAATGGTGATGAGATCTAAACAATTACATTTCACACACGACTCACACACGACACATTACAGCCCAAGACATTGTCATTTTATAATGGAGTTTAACTAAGGATTTATGAAGTGTAATGTAACATTGTTTAAGAGCACCTGGACAGTAAGTCCAGACTGATTTAGACTGAGTATAGCTGATTTTGAACATTTCCTCATAGGTATGGAGCCGTGTCAGCGGGCATGCTCTGCGCCCTCACCACACTGTCCCAACAGCTGGAGAACGAGGGCGTCGTCGACATCTATCAGGTGGCGAAGATGATCAACATCATGAGACCAGGCGTCTTCACAGATATAGTAAGTTCACTTTTATGTCAAATACAAACCAGAGGGATTTCTCTGGTCAGCAGTTTCAAATTTGAAACATAATATTGAAATACCTTCAGACAGACCCAGTTAGCAACTAGCTGTAGAAAGGGGATGAACATTTAGTAGCTAACAAGATGGATTTTTACCTTCAGGAGTTGGTGGGAAGAGCTTAAATGCATAGCTCTGTAGCATATTGTAAGATGTGATCTTAAGTGTTGTGTGTTTGTGTTCATGTGCACAGGAGCAGTACGAGTACCTTTACAAAGCCATGCTCAGCCTGGTGGGTAACAGAGAGGACGGCCTGAGCCCCATGCACATGGACACTAATGGGGTGGTGGTGATCGCAGACGAGTCGGACCCCGCGGAGAGCATGGAGTCGCTCGTCTGAGGACGTCCTCACAGGCACTTAATTTGTAAAAACTCGAGAACTTTTCGGAGGCCTTTTTTGCCAGACTATTGATTAAATGAATAATCTTATTACTTTTTATACTGATAAAAGTCTTTTGATATTTATGTTTTCGTCCTTTTTTTCTTGTCTTAAATGTTATCCTGCTGAGCGTTTGCACCTGTTTAAGTTGACGTGAGGGAAAAGCAGCTCTGTCCAGTTTGCACTATACTATCAGTGTTACTGCCTAAATCAAGTGAATGAAGACGTTTAACAGTTAAATCCTGGCATCATCACATGACCAGGATCTTTGGATCACATAAGACAAACCTGAAGCGTGAAGGCCAGGATGAATTAATGCGATCTGCTTCTAAAAATGTCTCCAAACAAAACATTACAACACAAAGTAGCCCAGCACGCATTATGTCACTTTGTCACCTCGAACCGTTTTGAGGCTCCGCTCCATCTGGTTGAAACTCTTTATCACATATTAAGAGACTATTACCTGCTTAATATTCATATATTGTCCAAGTATCTCACTGCTGTCTTGTATAATGTACTTACGGCTTATTTTGTTAAATTGTGTTACAACATCTAATGTGAACATGTATTGCTTTTTACAGGGATTTATATTGTTATATTGTTTTGTAATATATATATATATATATATATTATATCCTTAATAGCCAACCAATGTTTTTCTTTTTTTTAGTGCTTTTGCCTATTTGTTGACTGGCCTTGATGTAGATTCATGTTTTTATGAGACTGCCATGAATAATCTACAAAGCTCAATTTTTTTCATCATTTTTCACAGCTTCTTTACCCACAACTGTCAAAACTCAACAGTTAACACATGTAATGGGTATCTGTATTGAAACAGTACAAGGTCTACAAGAAGTATTCACCCCACACGAACTTCCATGTTTTATTGTTTTACAACATCAAATCACAGTGGATGAAAATCAGTAGACAAAACTATGTCAAGTGAAAACAAAAGTCAACACATGTTTGATCTTATTTCATTGCAAAAAGAGTATGTGGATAGCTTTGGACATCTTGACACGTTTGCAGCTTATCACGTTGCCCTGTCAAACTCCATTTTACAAAGCGATAGCAACATTTCTAATCCTGCCACTGATCCTGGACTGAATTGAGGTTCTGACCTGGCCACTGACAGACTTTAACAGGTTCTTAAGAGACGACATTGCTGTTTAGCTGTGGCTTCATATTTGCTGTCCTTGGTTTGATGAAAAAATTAATTCTGCAGTTTCCCACGTAAAGAACCAGAGTTTCCTCCAGGACTTCTTTATATTTTACTGCATCAATATTACCGTCTACTTCTTCTTAAGCCTTGAAGGGGCCTGTTGCAGAGAAGTATCCTTAACAGGCCTCCTGATGAGGACGGTATGTTTTAGCCGATGTGTTTGGCTCACAAAAAGGCTCGCTAATGATCTTGCCCTTCATTTCACCACAATTAATTTTTAAGAGCTGGGCCATACTGCTTTTTAATTTTCTATAATTGTATGTGGAATCTCCAGTGCCTTGGAATTGTTATTCCTTCCCCCTAATTGATTACATCTGTAAACCTATTTTCTTTAAGTATATGTTTGTTTTCATGGTGCAGTTTTTGCCTGGAAATGTACTTAATAGCTATGGTTTCCAGAAATATTTAACCTAAGAAAATGTGTCACAGCGTGATTACACTCAGCAGTCTCTATTCGACTTGAAACAAACTGGCTGCACCGGTGAGATATTCAATCTCATAGTGAGGGTGAATATGAGTTTTATTTTACATTTACCTAATTTACAACTGTGAATCAATTGAGACTTTTTCTTTTACAAGTGTAAAAATTATCCTTATTACATCCACTGTGATACAAACTTGTAAATAAATAAAACGTGAAAAGATCCAAAGGAGGTGAATATGTGTTAAAAGTCACTGTATATTCTTGTAAGGGAGGGTGGGGGGCTTATTTGTAACCAAAGATGTGGTTCCAGTTTGCAACATGTAGGTGGTTTTGTCCTGAGATCTATTTAGTCCATTTAATATCAAGATTGTTGAACCTTGAAGTGCAGATTATCGTTGTCAGAGGTTAAGCATGTTTCTGTTCCAGCCTTGGGAACTTATCTTACAGTAAACCTCAGAGTACAATATTTTTAAATTGAGACTGTAAAACGTATTTTATTTGGGTCGATATTGTGTCAAGGCACTATTTTGTGACCTAATTATAAGCCCTTTTAAACCCTGAACCTCCCTCTCTCTTGATTGATTTATGTGTATCGTTTTACTATTTAATAACACCCTCTTCTCTGACAAAGGGGAGATTGCTAAAATCAGTTCAAACTCTCCAACATTTGGAGAAAAGTCCAGATTGCTGATCACTTAACTGCAACAAAACATATCCTAGATGTTTCTTATGAATACCAATCGCCTCTCTGTTTGATATTTCTACGCTTGATGTGTACTGTGGCAAAACACATTAACTAAAAAAAAAAGGAAAAAAAATGTCTTATATAATCTTTGTGATCATAGAGGTTTATATTTTCATACAAATATTTGGTTTGTATAGTGGCCATGAAACAGTTTTGTGGGAAATGTATTATCCAAATCTCCACAGAAAACCCCCCGCAGTCATACCGGCCCCTTCGAGGTCCACGCTGATATTTGAAGCAGATATTTCCTGACATTTGCTGAACGGTCCAGGGATCCAGTGTGTGAGTTCAGTATAGTTCTCCTAGGTTGGTAGTGACGTCTATTTTGTAACGTTAAATTCGAATAAAATGGTTTTGTCCATCATATCACATGTTTATATGATGTGTCATAGCCATATATTTCTATGATGCTGTCATATACCATATTATAGTGTAATAGTGTCATTTAATAGGTACATTGTATTGCTATTTATGAAATAAAGTTTGGGTTTGGGTGCACAGCATCCTTGTACATGGAACTACAGATGGAGGAGTTTAATGGCATGAAAAAGCAAATAAGCAACCTTGTTATACTGTCGCCCCCTGCTGGCAGTCTGTCACCAAACAACAGTGGTGGAAGATGCTTTGCTCCGATACAACATACTCAAAAATGTAACTAACTAGAAGTATTAGCATCAAAATGGACTTATAGGCAGCATGATAATAATGTAGCTTGTTAAGGTGGAGCTATTTCACATTATTTAATACACTATTCTATCATATAGCATTTAAGTGTATACATTATACAGTATATGACCACAGGTGTTGTAGTCTATAAATCGTAATCTGTATTGTAGAAACTGGATATTAAATAAATGTAGGGAATTAAAAAGTACAATAACATTGTAGTATATGGTGGCAGGAAATGTAAGACTAACATGAGTTGAGTTACACTAGCTGTGGGCTACAACCTGAGCCTCTTTTTTAAGGCCTATATGTCGGCTCTTTGGGAACTTGACACAATGTAGTACTGAAATAGCTATTAGCAGTTCCTGTTGCAATCTATCACAGGTTGAACTGACCACTACTCATGGATTAAGTTAATACTGGAGAAAACCTCAAATGTGACAATATTATGCAAGTTTTGGTGTTATAAGAGCATCATATCATTTTACTTTCTTCAAAATGGAATATCCTTACAAAGTGTATGGTGATAGTGTATCTAAAAATATTCCCATCATGTCTGTCTGAATGAGACTCAGAGAGGAAGTAGCTGAAGTACAGTCGCCTATTTGAGTTAATGTTCCTTTCCAACACCGCCATACCACCACTTACACAGCTCAGTGTACCTATAATTGTGTCTCCGGTGTAAATGCACCCAGTAAACATGACAGCAGATGCACATGTACAGTAATTTTTATTTAGAAGCCACAGCTCTTGCATATTACAACTGTTGGCTTTCATAAGGCAAAAGCAAAATGAATCCACCAGCTAATTCACACAGAAAACAGAAAGCGTTTGGGGAGGGTGGGAACCCACAGGCATGCAGCGATGGCTCAGAATGCAATGTACAGCATTTTATATTTATATATATATTTATATAATATATACAAAACAACAGTGAGACCCAAACAAATGCCAGACATCTCATTCTACACAATTACAGAACAAAGACGGACCAACTTTTCTTTTTTAATAAAAAAAAAATATTTCTGCTCTTTTCTCTGTACTGTAAAAGTGCAACTCAATTAAAATAGAACCTGTTTCAAGGCCTTTTAATGTTGAAATAAAAATAGAATCTCCCAAGTTATCAAAATGGAGCTATGAGAATATTGCATCTCTAGAATACCCACTCGTTGAAGTTCATGATTCCTGTTGAATCGTGTCTAATTAGTAATTGAGATAAGATCACATAGCATTGACACATGATAGAAATGCAGGTCTAGATAAACTGTTGATGTTAATAACAGTGAGTAGACAACAATGTATCTGTAACAGCCGTAAACAAATACAGAGGTTTATTTTTCAGTTTGAAGCAGTTGGCATTCACTTAAAAACAGACAAGACAAATAAAAGGGTTCACACACTCATCATCACGACAATGTACCATTAATGAATGTAGAATACGACAAAGAAGCGCCATATAGGTTTGCATTGGACAGGGACACACCTAATAATCTCACTCAACATCGTCAAACAAATGGTTCTCCATATTGCTTAGTAACACATAGAAATGAATTTTGAAACGAATGAATCAAAGATAGGTGCTATCTTTATCATGACACAGCTAAACTGCCAATCATGGTTATTTTTTTTACATTTTTATTTGTATTTTCCTCAGTATAAGTACTATTTTTATAGTTAATAGTTCCTTCATAGGCATTTCGAGCTGACAAAGAGGTCCTAGAGTGGCTATCTGAGTTGGTACATGCATCGGTAACCAGGCTAAAGTCAAAAGTGTGAAAGGGGGTCGGGGTGAGGGGGCTCAGGGGAGATGGCGGGAGTGTCAGTGTACAGGCTCTAGTCATCGTCTTCGTCCTCCTCATCGCTGTCCTTCATGGAGATGCCCTGCATGCCTCCTTCCCTCACTGAAGCCGTGGCCTCCTCCAGCGTCAGCCTGTTGCGCACCGTGTCGTACATCTTACTGTTCAGGGTGGAGTCGAGGACCCCCTGCAGGCGGAAGTCCCGGTACTTTTTCTACAGAAGGACAGAGGTAAATCAGCACTGTGTATTTGGGAAGTGTACTGAACCTGACGAGTGGTTCCTGTGCTACCTATAGCTCTTAATCTTATTATTTGTATTTCTGTTGTACCTAAATGTTCACTTTGTTTTATGGGGTTTTATCATTGATATTGTTGCATCGACTCAGTTGTCTTGTGTCTTATCTGAGAGATGTTTTATTATCATACCTTTTACCTCCTTGTGTCTATCTGATAAAGTGTTACATTTTGCTGCATGTACCTTTTAAAGTTCTTAACAAATAATCTGAGGGGAATTTCTTAGTTTGTTTTTAACTTGTGTCATTTTGTAAAGCACTTTGAGCTGCATGAGTTGAATGAAAAGTGCTATATAAATAAAGCTTTATTATTATTATTATTATTATTACCTTTGTGATCCTGATGAGGATTTTCAGCTGGTAGACGTGGAGCTGCTGCTCCATGCGTTCAGTGAGCCAGGTCCCCAGCAGGTTCATGGTGGCAGTGTACCATTGCTGAAACACATAAACACAACACTCTCCAGCAAAACACACACTCACACACATACTCAAGACATTGTAACATAAAACTAACCTTTTATGACGCACATAAAGAACATCTAAACACAGAGTACGACAATAACATGAACTTTCAAGCATCCTCGTGTGTGTAGCATCACTTCAATAAAACCGGCTAGAAGCTAGAAGACACGTGAGGATACTTTTCCTTTCACCCAGGTGCACAGTGTATCAAGTTAGTGAGGATTAAGGTGGAGTCTCCATCCCACTTCACAAGAAAGACATCCCTGCTGTTCTCTACTCAGAATCCGCAAACATTGCACGTTAATGTAAGATTAAAGTAATGTTCAAAATAAACAAATCATAAAAGCTACAAAGAATAAGAAGCTACAGTAAAGTGGGTTTGTTTCTTTGTGTCATGTATTTCAAATCTAAGGTAAAAAAGAACGTTCTTTACTTTCATTGCCTTCTGTCCTCATAGAATATGTAAAGCCCCTGAAAACTCTGTTTGTATAACTTTAAATATAAATGACTTGCCAAATTCAAAAGCTTAGAAAACCCAAATCCTTCGGGATCTTTAGACACTCATTTAAGTTGGTTATAAGTTACCAAGTTATAAGTGGGTGTTTTAAAATACAGCAATATCTTGTTCTAGGTTATGCAGTTATGTGTAACCAATGTACTTATGTGTAACCAATGTACCGCAGGTCTCCCTTGAAAAAGAGATCGTTGATCTCAATGGGATTTTTCACCTGATTAAATAAAGGCTACAAACAAACAAACAAGAAAACTAAAAAAGTTTGTTATTTTGGGAAATACACTTTTTCACCAGTTTGCTTAGTTGAGCATAAAACCTGGAAGAATATGAAACTGATAGCCTGGCTCTTTTCTCTCTCTGCCAACAAGCACCTCCAAAGATAGCCGATTTGCACTCAACTTGTTTGGTTAATTTGTACAAACTAGGGTATGAGAGTCCATGAACGTACTGCACCCAGGTATACTGTATACTGCAGCACATCATATTTTGTATAAATTAAAGAAACAAGATCTAATATCTTAAAAAGTCAACTTTAGAGATGCTGGTAGAATAGGTTACAATTGGACATCAGGCTAGGTGTTTTCCAGTCTTTGTGTTAAGGACAGCTAGCTGCTCCCGGTTCAAGCTTTCATTTTGAGCAGACATGAGATGGGTGTCCATCTTTCCCAAAATGTCAAACTATTTCTAAATGTATGCCGCATCATAGTAACAAGCAGATTGAGGAGACTAAACTCAAAATGTGTGTGTGTGTTTATGTGTTGCCAAGACACACACAAAGACACATGCACACCCACACGCACAACAGAACCCCCATACACACACACACACACACACAATGTGACATCCACACACAGACTGCATTTTTAGCACTGAAAGGTGCAATTTAAAGTAAAACCCGAAGCATTGATACAACTGCTACATCATCAACCATTGACAGATGTATCAGTCTCAAACTGTAATTACCTTTTAATAACTACAAATTATTCTCTGAGTCAATATTTAAGCTGCATGGCCCATTAATTATTGAAGGCAATTGCTTAGCCTTTATTAATAATGTATTCGAGTAGATGCCGAGCTGCATTTAAATATACGGAGTATAGAAAATGACTACTGTATAGGGAGTTTAAATTAAAGTTTTGACGCAATTCATTAGCAAATGAAAAATAGAATGAGAGTGAGTAAATGGTTAGCAGGCAGGGAGCAGCGGTGCTATTGTCTTGTACCTTGTCGCTACTTTACTTTGGGTATCGGTGTCCCAGACTGTATAAAGTTAAAAGTGACAAGAGAACAGCACCCAAGTCTAATAGAAACAGCTTTCAGACCTGCAACTTCAAAAAATAGAAGTCAACTTGGAACATGTGAGTAGGCAGGAACGCAGAAACAAAAGCTTCAATTAGAAGTGGGATAATATAATTGCTTGGTTGTTGAGTTACGTTTGAGCCTTGGTTTAGTTTTCAACAAGATTAGGTGAATGGTTGAAAGGTTTGAACTTGTGGCTCGATATGCAGATGCCTGTCCACTTCACAGTCGAGTTGAGCGTGCAGTGCATGCAGACCTCGCAGGTGGGTGGGTGGCAGATTACGTGCTAAGGAAAACTGCTCTATGTGCAAATGAGGCAGAACTCTGAGGAGGAGGGTCATGCTAGAAGATGTACACAGGAAGATTATTTGACTCTAAAATCATGCCAACCAACATAATGTGATAAAACAACGCAACGCAACACCAGAGATAAGTGCCACTTTTTGAATAGAGGAGGCAGCAGGAATGGTGTTAATCAGAAAAGAGGAGATAA